ATAACATGGTCCTAACAGGACATCAACTAGTCACAGATGTGTGCGAGATTCTACAGACAGAGAAACTCGATATACTGTACCATTGTGTACGGTAGACTCAAACCAAAACATATCTTATATAGATATAGGTCTCAGGTCAGGGCGCTTTATTCTGGCCTTCAATGTCAACCTAATGACGACAATAATGTCCAGAAATGAATTACCTGTCTGCTTTTGCACGTGTTTTTCCACTTTGTTTTTAATCCGAGCATATTTGATTAAAGCGCCAAAACACAACATGAAATTGTGGAACTTCTGAAGAATGAAGACAATCAAAAATATAATAAAAAAAGTTCTTGTGAGGAGATAATAATGTGGTATTTATGTAAAAATTATACTTTGGTTGGTGATCGGAACGACCTTCACGTGACAATTATTGTATTTCTAACAGTAGGATCAATTAATTATATGTAATCAGTGACAAAACACGAATATGATAGATCTAACTATCACACTATGTGCCTACCTGCTACAAACGTCTCGAGTGAACCAGTGTTCTACCTGGATTATAATGCAGGGTTTGACATGGGTTTATTAAATCTGAAATGGAACCCTACATACATGTTTACGATAAAGAGGGAGTGACACGCAGGGTATAATGTGAAGCGTTATTTGTTATAGCTGGTCAGGTCAGTACTTTGCTTTCCCCTTACACCTGGCGACAAGGGAGTCATTGATATACTCCACTTGGGACACGCCCACTCGTATATCATTACTTATTATATTTCTCAATATCAGTGGAGTCCGGAAGAAGTTAGGTAATTACACGCTACATCGAATATCACAGGAATACTGACAACCATTCCGAATCAACACTTCATATTCAATTGACACTCTTTGTGTGTCTTTCGTTAAGACTCCGAGATCGCAGATGGTAGACACTGTTGGTGGACAATTAGTCTCGGAGATTTACTATCACCTGTATGCCAAATTGTAATTCATTCGAACAGTAGCTCGGCTTAGAGTATACACATGTACGCGACTTTGTTCTACAAAATAGACATCAGATACTAGATATTGACTTTTCTTCCTGTCACTTTGGATTTTTCTCAGTCGCCTCTTATGCTTCAAAATTTAGACCCTTAGTACAACTGTCGAGAACTAGAAGGACGATGACGTATAATGCAGTTTAATTCGTTGTTGCTCTAATCTAACTCCAAATTCGTATTAAAAGGTGTTTTTAATTTTTATGGCTTTTTTACAATGTAGCACCAAAATGTTCGTGTTGATTTTATAGCTGATTTTGGACTGCTATTTATTCCAGATTTTTTTTAAAATTCCTTTTGTGCTATTGTCTTAAGCTCGGCTCAAACTGACAAATTATTTTTTATAGAAGTATCCCATGAAATATAACAGTATTGTAACGTAGCACTACTGAAATGCTTTACTGCTGTGCATGTATGAAACTATGTATGTGTTAACGGTGACCCCCTAGCCTAGAATTAAAAAGTATACTTAACTTTAGCATGCATCCGCGTGGAAGGCACCCGTACAATAATACTGGAGAAATGGTGGGAAGTTGTTTTTGTATTTTCCACAGTCGCCTCCTAGACTTCAATAATATAGGTCCCTAGCAACACTAAGGAATCCTTAAAACACAAAACAGCTGTATGATGCAGTTGAATTACGTGTTTGGTTATGCTGTTTCTAATTAGAAACTTGTGTTACAGGGTGCTATTCACTTGTGTTTTCATTTTTATAATATGTCTTTACCGAGGATTACATACAGCTCGATGGCTACTAGATGCTCTCCTCAACCGATAACCAAATAACACAGGGTGGACAATGACAAAATATGATACCATGATAAAACACACACTCTCACACTTTCAATCACACATTAGCAGAAAGGAAAAAGAAGACTGAGAGGGTTAGAATCCGTTGGGATTCGTGATAAGTTCGAAGACATGGTAATTATTTTAAACCAAATTTAAAAGCTCTGCTTTAAGGTCTGGATTGACGTTTGGAGCAAAGTGGCTTTTCCTGATAGCCATGAGCCACATAGAACACGTTTTGGTCTCGTTTAGGAATCGGCAAATGATTAGTCTTTTCACGTGGGAGAATGATATCCGCTAAAATAAATCATTTTTGCCATTGATACGTCTTTCTTTGATGGTTTTGCCACATGGAAATTAACACATTTCTTGGTTTCGTCAGAGTTGGATTGTGTGTATTGTGGATATATTATTCGTGTCCATTTCCGTTTGTTTATATAAGACGACTTGAGAGACAAGTTACATGACGTCCTAATGGGCCTGCCAATATTTCCTTCAGATTTCACTCTGAATTATTGTGTATATAAACATGTATATCATCTAAGATTCTTTTCCTCGGTAAATTCACGAAATTCTCCATGATTTTGCTCGTCGCACCTTGAAGGAGCGAGCAGTGATTTTTTCTTTCCCCGCGAAAAAAGTTCATAGAATCGGAAGGATGGCAATATAAGTTATTCTTTGGCCTAAAGTGTCAATTGCATATAATTTGCTATTTAAAATATCTTATTTTGCGTGTGTTTATAGAAATATTTGGCGTCAAATGGTTTATAGTTAAATTTCTTGCACAACTCAGTACTGGAGTTAAAATGTTAGTTTTATGTTTTCTCTTAAAAGGTATCGTGCTGTAAGAATCAAGCTAAAATAAAGTGTCAAAATCTGATAAAAAAGGTCGCAGCCAGCAAGATTATTTACTTGTTTGTTTATATCACGAATGTTTTTGGGTTTTTTGGTATCACTGACATGTCTATGAAGTAAGTTACAGCTGTATGATGTAGAACTCATTATTTGGATTTATTGTGATGAATTCTTAATTTGTATTGAAGTGTAAACTATTTTGGAGAATACTTGTTGGTGATTCGGGGCAGGTGAAAATGGGAATCTATATTAGTAATCGGCCATTAAAATCTTCGGTGGTGACCCTGGGAAAAGGCTAGGGAAGCAATATTATTAGACGGCGCAATTCATTGTCAGTGATGTAAAGGCTATGTATGTAAATATATCTGTTATCGGTTTTGAGGTCTTTCGTCCATCATTGGTCTCCCAAAATGAGATAACATTGACATCGTTGCGTCACTAAGTACGAGTATGCTGCATATGCTGTCTGTATGAGTACACATTTCCTTATAAAGAATATGAAAATCGTCATTCATACATGCGCAGCAACATTGAAATAAGTGTTCCTGTACGTGCTTATTTTGGATGTGTATACACGGGAGCCGAATCTCATGACAATGCTAACAAAGCTGTCAGCTGCGGCTATGAAGCACCAAGGCTATATTAGCTTGTACACAAAATTTAGCTGTCAAGATGCTTTATCATAATCACAGACATTATCAAATGACGTTTATCTGGTTTTAAGAACCATATCAGAATAGAACTGTTCCGGTCCGTCATGCATCATTGAAATTTCATAAGGTTGAAAGATCGTAAGTGATCCTTAAAAAAACACCTGAAATTGATGTTATAAAATTAGCGCAGTAAGGGAAATAACTCCCATTTAATATTTATCTGTATTAATTCTAACTTTTGTAATAGTTTGGAAGTGCAGATGCTAATGCATTTATTACCATCGGATTCCCTGTGAGAAATAAAGTGTTCCATTTTTTTCAGTTGTATGACAGAGTGACCAGCTTTACTGTAACGGATGATGATGATGATGATGATGATGATGATGATGATGATGGCAGGAAATAACAATTTTAATCAAAATTTAAATAATGTTTATGAACTCATTCAGTAAAGAGTGAATTGGTTTGTCCTCTGTTTTAGACAGAACTGGTATTTCCTTTGTTTTGTTTTTTGTTTTTTTTTTTTTTTTATAGAATTGGTTTGTCCATTGTTTTAGATAGAACTGGTTTGTGCTTTGTTTTTTATAGAACTGGTTTGTGCTTTGTTATTGATAGCATTTGTTTGACTTTTGTTTTGGATAGAACTGGTGTGTGCTTGGTTTTTGAGAGATTTGGTTTGTCTTTTGTTTTGTTTTATCTTATTTGAAGTGCCTAATGCAGATGTACAAAAGGATTTTGACGCAACATACTATTTTATCGATTAAATATTTTTCGCATCATAGTTTACACAGACCATATATATACCATAAAAAATGCTTATATGAATTGCCTGTCTTGCTTTGTTAGTATGCTCATTTTTGAGCCTGAAAAAAAAACCTGGACTTAAGTTGTTTAAAGCATGTAAGTAACAAGAGGTTTCATACGAAAACATTGTCAGCAATCACAAAAGCAGGCAATTTTTCTCGAATACTGTACTTGCTTTTTTGTTTTGTTTTTGTTGTTGTTGGAGTTTTTTTTTTTTTTTTTGTGACAATTTCTGCTTTGCATTTAGTTTATTATATCAACATTCTGTTAGCCTGTAACTACAATTGATGGGGTTTTTTTTAGTAATTTGTACATAATTTTATAATACTTGATGGCTTAATTGAGTGATTTTGTGACTCATTTTAGTTGCAGGCAAGAGAGAACGATTTGTTTGAATGATTGCTTTTTGTTTCTTTGTTTTAGTTTTTTTGTTTAAATGTTTCATTCCGATAACTGAATATTAAATCATGACAATGATAGATATCATTCACACAACCTGCATGATAAATTCCATTACCATGTAAACTCTTGAATGTTACATTATTACGGAGCAAACCTCAGTAAATCAAATTATTCTCATTACTGTCCATCGTGCGAGGGGAGACTACTTCACACGTATGGTACGGTTTCGAGTACGAATATATACTATGCATTATGTCCTCCAGTTTATAGAAATGTATAAACGTAGATTTATTACTGCGCCACTAGTATGAAAAGATTTACAAGCAATACTACTGGATACTAAAATATTACCAAAGGCTACCGGGTTTAATAAAAGTTCTGTTTTCCCAATTTGTTTTTGATCTTGGTCAAAAAATGTTTGAAACCAAACCACTGTGAAATTAAGCGCATAACTCACGTTGATCAAAATAAGGACGAGCGTGGTGATCTTCGTTCCTGTAGGTGACAAACTACCGGTTTCAGTGAATTTCTGGGACAGATTTGTTCATTCACGTAAAAAGGTAACCAAGAACCTTATTATAAAAGATGATTTAGTGTACTGGACTCTCACAAATATAAGAAGCCACAAAATTACGCACAAACCGTTGGTTTCGAATGTACGTTTTCATCCCAAAGGGCAGGTCGGACGTTTTATATTATGTAGTTTACAAGATAATCCTACCCAACTTGTCACAAGGACACTTGTACTCTATGAAATGATAAGACTATATCTGTATCCTTATGTTTGTATTTCTTCACAGGCAGACAAGTGTTTGTCTTAGCTCACCTACATTTGGTAATTGAAGTTAAAAACCGTGCAACAAGACGTATTTTATATAACCGTCTCACATTTTAGAAACATATTAGTAAATAAATCAGAGACATGTAATCATAATATATATAGTAATTATTGTGAATTGTCCGGTCAAGTCAGACTTGTGATTTACTAAAATAATGTCTTCCTAGAGATTTATGTTTTTCTAGTCAATATGCACATGTATTCGTAGTCAGTTGGTAATTAACTAATCAGTGGCTAATGTAGAATTCTTTGCAGGCAAGGATAGTTATGGTGACCTTCCATCCTTAATCTGGTGTATGCTGACTATCTATTTGTGATTTTATTTTTGTATTTGTTGTGGTCGATAGTCAGAATTCCTCCCTGTGTAAAAAGAGGAAATTTTAGTATTCAGTCAATGTGTTATATAGTTTACAACACAGTTATTTGTATGCAGCGTACATCGATGAAAAGATGAAACATTTCTCTACTAACTTGCATATGTTTCATAGATTTTAAAGGTTTTATGCTGAGTACCCATGCTTTTTATAAGGAAGAATTCTGCAATGAATGGTGATGAAGACAAAAATGAATTCCTGGAAATATTGTTTGAATCCTTCAGACCATTCTATCTTATGCTACTCCCTCCTTTACAATTAAGTATAGAACTTTCCCCCAAAGACAAAGACAGCTAGGGTTCTTGAACTTCTTTATTAAAGTTGAAGTATCTTCTTAATCTCCTATACTATGAAGTGACTAACAGCACCAAAGAGATGGAGAAAAATGAAGTTCACAGGCCTGGTTATTTAATTGACAAGTTGATTTGCAACTTTTGAATCATATTAGTTTTATACTTCTTACACTTTGATGAAACCCATTAGATACAATTTACATGTCATTGTCAGTTTACCTCTATTAGTACTTATTTTTTAGAAGTAAAAGATGTGTATTTCTGAATTTCTTATTGTACTCTATAAACTACTGAAAATTGAAGTAAGACAAAAACCTATCATTGTGTGAAATTCAAGACTGATTCCATCACCAGAGTGTAATGCTTATATTCCCGATTCTGTTATTGAAATTCCTAATGTGTGAAATTGTTGAAGTGACATTAAAACAAAGAATTTATCTCACAAATTCAATATCCATTTGGCTTTATTTAGCCAGACCAGTGTAGACAGAATATTTGATTTTAGGCAGTTTCTCTGCTTCATTCTATAAAACATACCCCATTGTTGATCCAGCAACACTGACAAATAATGTAGCAATTTGGAATCAAGGAAGACAATCCATGCTCTGCAGAATTTGTTTTAAAAAAATAAAATTTGCAACTTACAATGAATTATTTTATTACATGTAATGTTACAGAGTATGTTTACCAGATCTAACACTTCCATGGAATAAGTCACTTTTCCTGAGTAATAAAGTACCATCATTATTTCAGATATATGGAGTGAAGAGAACAGCAACATGAATGTATTTGGAAAGATTACCAGGGCGCTAGGAAGCCGTCTTCTCACAGCAACTCCCAGACCTGTTAGAATACAACAGGCAATACCACAACCACCTGTGTCTAGTAGACATCAAGTTGGAGTACATTGTAAGGGATTATTTACTTGTCAGCAAGGCAGTCTGAGTCATCGTATCAGTTCCCTTAACCTGAACAGTAGTAACGTTCATCATACATCCAGAGTGACAACACTGCTGACCACAAGCAACACCAACTTACAATTCACAAGATCATACAAAGTGAAAAATGTGTTGACACTTCGTTGTTCAGGATGTTATTTTATTCGCAGACATGGACGGTTATTTGTTGAGTGTAAAGTAAAACCTAGACATAAGCAAATGGCCAAAATTAGTAAGAACAAATTGATGGTAGATGACACTTCAAAAGGAAATGTGAAGAGAGCATGCTGGTGGAAGTTCCAAAAAGAAAGATGGTACAAAAAGGGTCAGACTTCTTACGTCAAGTCGGGCTATTTCAATCAAGGCTTGGGTACAGATTTTTAGAGAGAAAAAATTGTCGAATATGTATTGACACAGTATTGTTATACTGTAAAGGATGTTTAATTTCCATGATTGATTAAGACAAATACTTGTATAAGTGTGAGTGAATAAAAGTTTAAGATAATTAACACTAGTGTTGCCACTTTATACAACTTGTGATTTGATCCAAATTACACTTGCCTCACTTGTAAAGAAGAAACAGTGCATTTTTGAACATTGTTTGCTTGCTCTATTTAGATAAACACGATTCAAAAGGTGGAGATTGTCAAGCGTAGGTTGTATTTATGCAGAAAAGTGTTGAATTAAACACCAACATCATTTCTAAAGACCATACAACTTACGTCCTGGTGCTGTATTGTGTGCTGCAGGTTGTTTAACATTTCCTCGTTTATGTTGTATGTATATTGGCTTCAGCATTAGTGATACATACATTGGCTGAAGTGAGCTTATACATTTACCCTGGCAATGTGTACATTGTCAATCCAGACCCTTTCAATTTTCTCTTTGCGATTACAAAGCAGTATGTATTCATGATATTTGGTCAGTAATGTGTTGAAGTAAAGGGCTCTCAGATGTGCAAATGAATTACCTTGACCCATATTCAAGGTCAGAGGGGCCATATAAGCTACAACTCTACAACTCTCAACTTCTGATTAAACGAAAAAGGGATACATACAGTTCTGATATTTGACTGGTAGGTAGAATCTTGGAATGAAGCCAAAGTTTGCAGGAAAAAAAATGATTGAGCCATATTTAAGATAATGAAACACAACTTCCTATTTTTTAATTGGTTAGAAAACCAATATCTGATACCCTGCCAGAATTCATTTAGTACTGTGAATTGACTTGTTTTAATCCAATCTTATTAATTGCTATCACTGTCTGCCTCTCTTTCACTTTCTCTCTCTCCCTATCTCACATAAACTGTTTCCAAGGTGATTTAAAGTTGTCACTGTTGGTCTCCCTTGACTTTCTTTGGTGGCACTAGTGGAAAAAATTACCAGAAGGACTTAGGAGAAAGGGAGTAATCAAGATAAAGGAAGCGAATCCTGATGGAGCTTTCAAATGGATCAGAAGAATTGAAAAGTACCTGGTAGCCATTATACTGGTGTTGTTTATTAGGAGATAATGATAGTATGGTAATGAAATCACATATTATGTATCTGTTTGATATGAATAATATTCTTAAGTGTATATCTGTATCTCTCCTTCCTCCTCTCTCAGATATCAACATATTCTGTATCTAAACATGTCATCTTGTATTAAAATCTCCCTCCTCTCTCAGATATCAACATACTCTGTATCTAAACATGTCATCTTGTATTAAAACCTCCCTCCTTTCTCCGATTTCATCATACTCTGTATTAATGCATCAATGTCCATGGTAAAACAATAATATCTGAATTGCATCATATGTTTTGTTGATACAAACCACTATAAAGGTTACACAACGCAGTTTTGTTAAACACTGGAAAAATGTCTTCTGAAAGGCTTAAAGTCATATTTTGCTGTCAGGTTCCTATATCAGACAAAGTTTAGGGGAAAAAAATCAGTCCAGGAAGAAAAATACAGCCCATTTGGACCACTTGTTATAAATTGTTTTGGTCAGAAGGAGCAGACAAGAAAAAACAACTGTGGTATTTTCATTATCGTAACATCCACTTGATTCAAAGTATTATATTCCCAATGCTTTTCATATCCCCCAATAATTGAGCATTCTGTTTTTAGGGCCAGAAAACAAAGCTATTCAAACTTTTTTTTGTGTTCTGATGTTTGTTAGTTTCAAATTGTCCATTTTATTTACATGTTGGAATATTTATGAGTGACACACTTGGGCTTACTGTGAGAAAATCACTTGTCAAAGTGCTATTATCAATGGCTGTAGAGAGTGTCTTGATAACCATCAACTGCTATCACGTATATATTGAAACGTTCTGATACACTGCTCTCCACCCACCCTATCCTTATACTCTGGTGTTATCTTCTCTTTTCTATCTTGTCTTCACTTCCGAGCCTAAGTGTGTATCCCATCTGTTGGTGTACATAATATACGCATAAAACATGTGATGTCATATTACAACATTATTTCATGTAAGATCACATGTGATAATGTATGACAACATATAATGCCATGTTAGATGTTTGATACCATGTGGCAACATACAATATATTCAATGTCATGTTACAACATCAGTGATATGTTACAATCTATGATGCCATGTAGCAAATACCATGTATATGATGTCATGTTACGTTTTATGCCATGTGACAACCTGTGATGCCATGTGGCAGAATATATGATGTCATGTTACGTTTGATGCCATGTGGCAGCATATATGATGTAACAACATGTGTACTGCCATGTCAAGGTATATATGATGTAGTGATTTAAACTTGGGGGCATGTTTATGTTTCTCGGGAAACTGGTGTCACGGATCGTCCTGTACTCCTGTGGTTATGGGCTAGATACTTAACCCCAATTTCTGAGTGTTTATCGAGGTAGTTACTCGTTGCTATGAGGTAACACAATGCCACCTGACAACATACAACGTCATATGAAAATCATTTTCTGCCCGACACTGACAGAGTGAAACAAAGGGCAGTAACTCTGGGATATCAGAGTGATGAACATATGCGTACTGAGTTGAAAATTTAGAACAACAGATAAAATAACTACTCGTTGTCAGCATCTAACATAGCACTCAATTTCGATGAAATAAAACGTGAGCCAAATATACACAATAACAAGAAGCCCATGGGACTTAAATGTCGTCTGACTATAAAGACCTATATATAGGCCTAAACATAATTGCTCAGCTTACATAGAAGACATTGCTGTTTCATTAAGACATTTTTTGCAAACTTGAAATAATTTTCTTTATACATGCAATACACAATTTCTATTACTCCTGAGTATTGCTTGTTGAAATGCTAGCTACAGGCCAAGTATCAAGAACCTTGCATTTCGGTTATTGAAAAGAAGTTCCTTAAGCATTTCAACACATCTGACCCCTGTGACCTTGAAAGATGTCCAATATCAGTACCCTGGTCCTTTTAGTTATTGAAAAGAAGTTATTTAAACAGTTTAACACATTTGATGTCTATGACTTGAAAGTGGGTCAATGTCATTCATATTTACAAAGAAGGTAGCCCTTCATCCTAGCATGCTACAGGCCTAACATCATCATCCTTGGCCTTTTGGTTATTGGGAAGAAGTCATTTAAAGATTTTAACATATTTGATCTCTGTGACTTTTCAAGCGGATCAATGTCATTCCACTTAACTAGGGGTAGAATTGACTTTCTGGGTTTTTTCAGAAATGATTCCCCACTCTTAATGATGTTTCAAACAAAATTTGGTTGAAATCCATTTAAGCATTAAGAAAGTGTAGCATTATGAAGAAATATATTGTCATATTTCCCGTTTTAAGGACTTGACCCCAAATTTCTAGGGGTCAAATCAAGTTTCTGATTTTAAGAAATGATTCTCCACTCTAAATGATGGTATTTACACCAAATTTGGTTGAGATCAATTCCAGCATTTAGAAAGAGTAGCATTTTTAAGCAAAACATTGACTAACTTTCCCATTTGGGGCCAGTCCCCACTCTCACTCTCCACTCTCGATGATGTTTCAGATCAAATTTGGTTGAAATCTATTCAAGCATTAAAAAGGAGTCGTGTTTTGAATAAAATGTCTGACTTTAAGAAATAATTGCCAACCCCAACTGATGAATCAGGCCAGACTTGTTGACCCTTTTGGGGCTCAGTCCCTCGCCTCCTAAGGGTCGAATAGAAATTCTGAATTTTAGAAATGATAACCCTCGCCCAATGATACATCGGACCAAATTTGATTTAAATCCATCCAGGTATGAAAGAGGAGTAGGGTTTTAAAGAAAAAGTTTACACACAACGCACGACGACGGACGAAACACGATGACAATGTGTAATCTTGACCCTTTGGGTAAGATTACCTGAATAAACAGGGAAAAAAACCTGTAAAAGAATGAGAACTTGACCAAGTGCTCTGAAAAGGTGCCTTCTGTTTCATCGACGACACCCGCCATGCAAATCTGAGTCAAACCAAATCAATGTCCCAAATAAGATCTAGGTTAACCGCAAAGGAGCAACGTTTTTACATTTTACAATTTCGAGTGAGATCGTCTTCCTCGTGATCTACATCAGCCTAGCTGCGTCTCCCGAAATCCTATGTTGTTAGTCTATTTGTTATCTGTCGACATCTCAGGTACATTTTCCTGTCTGTTCCGGGAATCATGAGTCACGAACGTCTAGGTGAAAGACTGGTGCGTTGACCACTGCGCCACCCAATCGTCCTGAAAATCATGATGTTGGGAGGCAAGTCCTTAGACAATCAACAGCAAATTATAAATATTATATGTAGAGAAAGGGAGTGTTGATATCTAAATTGAAAGTTTCACGATATGGGGATTGAAGTGTCCAGGTTTGTCATACATCTTGATAAAAAGCTATCATTGAGGTAAGCGGCTCAAGAGTCTGTCGTGCTGTTGATTTCCGGTTATAGTCAATATTCTGTTTAATATCATCATATCTACAGGTGAAACTGAAGGGATTTGTGTCCTGTTTTATAGCCCTTGATAGGTATGCCAATAGTCCGTTATCGACATAGCTTGCAATCAAACCCGACGAAGATATTGTTAACCAGATATTAGATCGTGTTGGCGATTTCGTCCTTTGTGTATTTCTTCTTTGCTCTGGACGGTTTTTTTTCACGAAATACGCACTAGGTTATTCAGTCAGAACAGAGGAAAAACAGTGAAAAGAAGCGAAAATCCAACCAATTTTTTTTAAAGAATTAATAAAGGTCAAACAATGAAGATCTCTGTGGGATCCCTTGTAGGACAGCTTTCACTTTACATAATTGTTTGCGCTTTCTGAACAATTTAACTTTATTTTTATTAGATTAAGTACTACTAATGCTAAACCCAATTCAGTAGGAACCATGGTACTTTGTTCCCAGTTGTGTTAAGTACAGTGTACATGTAAATCTGTTATAATGAAGTTTTTTTATTCAAATTTCAAAAAATCTGTGGAAGATGTAACCACATCAGGTTTAGATGTAGCATCCTTCTCCTACATGTTATTCGGGGAATTTAAGCCAAGGTCAGAGGTCACAGGTTAGATCCTCTTCTAGGCTCCGTTCTCTACGGGGTATCGATTTGTGCCTAAATACAATCCATGCAGCTAGTACTTTTGAAGAATTAAATAATGTCAATTTTTACAATCCAAAATGGTCGCCTGTCAGACATTTTATTATCTAGATCAGATCCAGAATTTGATATGTATATCAAGAGACCAGAGGAACAGATGATTTGAGAAAAATACATCCTGTATTTCTTAGGAACGGCGATAACTACTTTCTGAGCTGCTGTCTCTTTGTATGACAAGAAAATTATCGGGGTTATTTGTTGTTTTATATTATGCTATATTCGCATGTCTTCGTTCAAATTTACACTTCGCTGTATTGGCATATATGCATATTGGACCTTCCGGTTCCTTAATTATCATTTTCATATGCTGCATGAGCTTTTTTGTCGCATGAGTTTTATTTAGCTAGCAGTGTTTGTAAAGTTATCTGTGATGTATGTTTTAATTTCTTACTGTGACAAGTTGGTTTGTGTAAATATAATTGTTTTGTTATTTATAGTCGTAATAATAGTTCTACAGAGCTGATGTTTTATTATTCAAAAACACGACTCAGGATACTTTTTTGTATCTTTTAGGCATCTGCATCTAAAATGCAATTCGGTCGGGTAGGTAGCGCAGTGGTAACGCACTCGCCTATTATCAAGTCGTCCGGGGTTCGATTCCCGAACAGACGTAAATAGGTAGGAGGTAATCTGTCCGTCCATGTGTTTCGATGTCATCCAGAACAAGAGTAAATAAATTAGGAGGTAATCTGTCCGTCCATGTGTTTCGATGTATTCCAGAACAAGAGTCAATAAATGGATCAATAATATCACAATAAACACAATAAAGACACGTGTATATGTCTCTGATAATATCACAATAAAACGCCCTCCTCGAAAAACCTACCTCTTCGCCAGATCAGTTTGATATAATTAGCAGTAGACAATACACGTATCCGCCTCCAAATATTCCTCTTATAGGTTACGCGGTTGAAAAAATGGCGTGAATTATATTGCAAGTTGGGACGCTATAATGGAAAAACCTGGGACGTACCCTGGAAAACTAACGAAAGTGTCGGGAGATTACTTGCTAAGTTTATTGATATGAGGGGGCAACATAGGAATTGATCAGTTTCAGATTCTAGATCAGTTGGATTTCAGGTTTTACTTAATTGAATCTAAATGATTCAGTAAACCTTCCGGGAAAATGCTACTAAATTACACTGTAAGGTAGCCCGCTTTTCTCTTTGTGCAACTGAAGTCGCTGATAACAGATAGCATGCGCATTAGAGCGTGGAATTCCAATGTTGTTCCATTCACTCCAAAATATCTCCACTAGATGTCGCTCCAATAATTATCCAATCAGAAAGCAGCCTGTTCAGAAGTGCGAATTTGCGCACTTGGTAGTCGACAGAGAAGCAGCCATTGTACCGACGGTGGCAACCTCGATTTTCTTCTTTTAATCGGTAAGTACCGTTTAGTGAACATATATGGTGGATCAGAGTATTCTTCATTGTACCGGACGCCTAAATGAAGTGTGCGATCGGTCCTATTGATGCCGCGTGGGTATGACTGCTTTGTGTGCTGCTGAATCTGTAGACTTGGTCCTAATGATTTATGAGGGAACGCAAAGCTCGCGAGAACGGGCAAGTCTCATTTCCAGACTCCGGTGCAGGGAAGATCACGAGGCAGAAAAAAATAAAAACCTTAAATAAGGACGGAAAACGATGTTTTAATCTTTGGGAATGATAAATCATATGTTATAGCTTACTTTAATCTTTCGTTCATGCCGGTCAGGGTTGAAAATATGAGACTCTAAAAATCGCCACTTTTTTTTCTTAACATTGTCTTCAGCGCCCGACACAGAGTGTCGCTAAGCTTTTTTAATGAACGATAAGTGTCAGCCAATTTAATGTCAAAGGAAATAGTTGAGAATGTTTGTATCGATAAACAACGACCGTCTGATGCATGGATTCAGTAATGGAAGCAGATCGACCAATAATCCGGTGATCGGGTGGATCGGTGAATTCGCCGCTCAGCCGGGACAGAAATCCCTTTATTTTTTTTTATCCACTTTTATTTCATTAGCGTTCAGATGTAGAATATTTTTCTTTGAAATGCAGATTTTAGCCTTTAAAAAAGTTGGGTTTTTTAATTTCAAATTTGAATAACTAAATAGGATACTCTTGGATTGAAATTTTCTGCCTCTAAGATTATAATTTAATGTCAGTATTTACATTTATTAAGTTGCTATTGATATTTACATATTTATGGACTGCGCTTATTTTAGTGAAAGAACGCTTGTGTCAATGGATGTGGTAAATTTATTCCCGCAATGTTTCCAGAAATTGTTGATTCATTTTAGAATGACAGAAGTTTATTTGCCTTACTAAACTTGTCAAACCTTGCAGGATGCTATTTTTAAACCATTCTAGTGATTTTTTTTCTCTCCATTTTGACTTATATTCGGCCGCATTCCCAATGCAAAATAGTATCTTTTTTTCCCAATTTAGACCCCAAGTTTTCCCAATTCAAAGGAAAATGTCGCTATTTTTCCCAATTCTAAGGGCCCCGGGCCCCAGCCCCAAAATGTGGGATATTCAGTGTACCAAATTCAGGGCCAACAACCCCTTGATTAAAGAGTTATTTCCCTTTGTTAAAATTTTGTGTCTAATTAAGTTGCTTCTAGGAATCTTCCATCGGTTTCTTTGTTTATATAAGTTTTTTTTTTGTTTTTTTAGGGGGGAGGGGTTGTTGGCCATCAAAGGAAAACTGGCACTGGTGTGTGTCTATGGAATTGAATTTCAGAATATAGTTGAATAATAATATAAAAAATTTGATATAAAGATTGATCATTGATCTTAACCACTTCAGCACTTTTTCCCCCACAGTTTGTACATATAGCTGGTTTCTGCTGTTCCTTTACATATTTTTGTGAGATTGAAATGAATATGCCAGTATAACAAACAGATTTTCATTTTGGTATATTTAGTTCTCACAATATGATATTGTAGAACTAACTATACCAAAATGGCTAATTTCATGTTGATATCCATAAAATCTTCATAATGAACAGTTACACATTTATGTTGCTTTGGAAATAAAAATTGTTACAATAGTAAATACATACAGCACATGTTATGTTTTTAATTCAATGTTTAATTGAAAATTGCATAATGGTTTTATGTTATTATTTTGTAGGTGAAGCAACAAGAACTGACTGATGTGATTGACAAGAGGTATGACATTCGTAAAGTTCGCGGCCTAAAGAACTTTCATACCAAGTCTTAAATAAGGAAATATATTGATTAATAATACATAGTAAAATTATGAAACACTTTGAAATTAAGTCGCATCCAGCATATGTTTCTTTCACATCTTCAAAACTTAGTCTTTTATTGCAGGTTATGATTTGGATTTGGTTAATGATATTACCTACTTAAGCTGTTTTGTAGTTAAATTTCTTTATACATATAAGAATAATCATGAAGGCTTTTGCAATATTTTGATTTTCTGTATATAATGACAGACTTAATTGATTTATTTATTAAACTTGAAGATTTGAACGTAAATTGATGTTAAAATCCATTGTAAATGTTCTCAAGATAAAGATTGGGTTATGTAAAAACATTTAATATATGTCTTATGATGATTAGTTATAACAAATACAATGATAGATATTGCAATAGTCTGGTATGTTGCACAAACATTGCATGTTATCGTTTAATATATATTTGTGTACATATATATTTGATATGTAGTCAGTTTTTATTAAGTATGGAATGTATAAGACATTTTACCTGGTATCATATCAAATCAATCTCTTATGTTTTTGAAATTTAATCGCCTTCTTTGTTTTTCCTTTAAATAGAAATTCAGAATATAAGACACAAAATTTTCATTTGTTGAAATAAGTATGATACAATAGTTGTGTCAATGATTAGTTGTTTCTTTTAACTAAAATCAGTCCTCATTTGATATGGTACACGGTATGTATTTTGAATGTTTATTAAGGATTAAAAAATCATTGAGCTTTGTAATTTTTTATCAGCATTTCAATTTATCTTTTCACATAAAATTACATAAAACCTTTGAATTTGTTGCAATCGTCAAACATGCATCACTTGATGGTATATTTTATTGATTAAAATCAACAGGAAAGATGTAAAGTTCATATACAAATTGATAAGAATTGATCTTGAGTGGTCAAATGTTTCATGTAATTTAGTGTTTTTTAAGCATATTTTGCAGTTAGTGTTACATGTACATATGAAATGGAGGTGTCTGTGCAAACATTTCCAATTCAAATGTATCTTATTCTTTGCTTATGGATACTACAGTTAACTATAGCAAACAGCTCTTAAATATAAAGAATGTTAACTGCAATGATAAATCAATGTGCACTACTTTTTTACCTTCTAGTACTTACATTTAAAAGAACATTTCAATTTCAATTGACATTTTTAAGACTGTTTCATTTTCTATCAGTCTTCCGCAAAACGAAATATATTTACTTCTGATTCTGGCTGTTTAAGTTTGTTTCATTTCATAAATTTTTGCACAAGGTTAAAAAAGATAATTTTTTTAAATTGCAAATTTGTTGAAAATGTCTGGACTTCTGCTTGCCATAACTTGTACATTCTTTATATTTAATGTGGTGTAAATCTAATGTGACATCCAATACATGAAAATGATCTTTATACCAATATATAACTTAGTTTTATTTTTGTTATGATTCAGCTTGATGTCCATGGCCTCCAGTAATAACTCTAATAGATCTATAGCTGTACCACAGCTGTACCTATAGTGAACCAAGGCTGTTAGGGAAGCCACAGCTAGCTGTGTCCATCTGTGACACCTAGACAGTCAATAGTCTATATACTGTGGTTGGATGTCATATTTCTGGGTATGTTAGTTGTAATGGTTTACTATAGATGTAGTGGTGTTAGTAGTAATGGTACTTGGTTCAAATATATGCTTGTTCTTTATAAATTTGTAGTACATTTAATTAAGAAACATTAACTTTTGCAAAATCACGTAAGTGTTTCCTATCTGCATTTGTGGACACCATTATCTCAAGTAAATGCCTATCCTTCAAAAATAATTCTTATCTATTATTTTAATGGAAATAGCTTGAGAATTTACAAAAGAAAAAAAACATATATATATAGTCTCATATTTCTGTATTGCTTGATATTTGTAGAAGTATTTGGGAGACATTTAATAATCCATATTCAACTGTTCATTATTTTCCAAACTTGATATCCTGCCATTAAGCATATCAAATCAGACATTTTTATGCCCATTGATTTGTCTGGCCGGAATCCATTTAAAGCAGTCCTGCAAGAAGAAAAGATTAAATGGTGTTCACTATTATATTGCAGTTTTAGTTTTCCATATAACTGTAAGCTTTAATGTTTGGTTTTATAGTATATGCAGTAACTATACAATTTTGGCCAAATCTTGTCCTGTGTATAGATATTTATAAGATTGGTCATAGATTTTCAAATATAAATTGATATACTTTGCATGATGTAAGCACAAGAATCAAATCTATATGTAGTTAGCAAATTACTTACTCTTTGATACATAATGGCTTGACATGTATTTCATTTCAGGTCATCATGTTAACATGTGTAGGACAAGATCATGTATGAAAATTGACACTGGATTTAAGGTTTTGAGTTCTGAAATAAACAAGTCCCTGTAATTACCAGGCCAATGAAAATGAATACAGTAATCATTAAAAGTAAAAATTTGTAGAAATCAGTGGTAACATTTCATACATAGATTTTCTTGTAATTTGAGCATTTTAGAGGAATTATCTACATTAAATACAGTTACTTATGTAGTTAATTATCAGAATAAAGTAAGATTTAAGATAGTAAGTTTGTGCAACAATCCATTTGCTGAATACCGGTAATTGTCAATTGTTCACCAAAAAATTTGAAAAGAAATGCAAAAAGTTGAAGTCATATTTGTATATATCTGTATGCATCTCTTAAACTTGTGATGCTATGCAATTTTCATTTCTGTATTCATAACGATCATGAAGACCGGCTTATTCAGTACAATGGTAAAATTATATCATAATGTTAAGTATTCTACAAAGGAGTGATTTTTGGGATGCAAATATCAGGTCTTATTTCTTTTTAAAGAGGCGCATCAGTATTTTGAAAAAAAAGTTGCTCTGGACTTACCTGAAAAAATCCACAAAAAACACTTGTTTGTGTCATTTCACGTTAAAATAATGTACTGGTATATGAGAGGGTTTCAGATTTGTTACTGACTAGGACAATAAGTTACTGCCTAGTACACTAACATATACCTAGTACTAGAATTGTTTCAGAATATTTTTATTATTGTTAAGTATAACATTTTCAAAATTCCTGATACATCTTTTATAATTTGATGGCAGATTTGACATCTACAATAATATGCAAAATAAAAAATTTGAATGACAAAATCATCAACTTTTATCCAAATAAAAATGTCTTATTTTAATAGTATTGGAAAATAAAATAAAAAGTTGATTATTTTATCAATATGAATTACAACAATAAGTTAATAACTAGTGGTTGTTGTGTATTGGTTTGATGTTTAGATTTGAGTGTGGTGATTTAAGTAACAAATCTTTAAGGGTATTACATAAGATTGAACAACAAAAGGAATAAGATAATACAGCTTTGATAATATAGTCAAAATATCAGATCTTTTTCTACTATTCAGTCTGCCTGATAAAATGTATTTAAAAAACTTCCAAGTTATGTTGTTCAACCTTATCAAAATTAAGTACGATTAAGTGTAATTAGATTTTGTCATAATTAGAATATTATTTAGATAAATGATATTTGATTTAGTACCCAAGCAGAATTCATCATATCTCTACTACTATTGTAGAGAATTCATTGTGATGCATGATTGTCTCAATATCTAAAATATCCTTATTAAAATGTGATGATCTGCTCGGATAACTTAATGTAAATATAAGGAAAGTAGTTTACTCATGAAAATTTGTCTTACTTCAATCCATATGGACAAAATTATAAAAACCTGAAATATAATGTAAAACTTCATGTAACAAAACATTAACAAATAATTACATGAGTAAACTATTTGAAATGTGTTTTGGGTGTTTGTTTGGACAGCTTACAACATACGCTACAATGATCATTTTCTATTTAATTGACATATCACCGTTGTTTATATTACCATGATCTGTTTTGTTTTGTAGTAGTTGAACATCAAATACAATACAAAGATACAAAATCATTCGGTAGGTATCTGTCTCTGTAGATGTAATCTATAGTATGCAAGTGACCTTGTTAACTGACCAGTTCTTCTGTAGGCAGGTAACCTACTGGTTCTTCAGTAGGCAGGCAACAGGTAACAAGATTGAAATTTCTAGAATTCACTAAAGATCAAATGTTTCTGAAATAAGGCACCATACAGTGATAAAATGTGTACTTTGTGTCCAATCTCCAGACACTAATAATGCAGATACATATACCGATCGTTCCAGAACATAAACCATGGCAACTGTATTATATTATGATGTATCCATGGCTTACTCACTTTTGCCATTTTCTTTGGCTTTGGATGTACATTGAAGATAGTTTTCTGTATGGTTTCAAATCAGTCAAACAAAAAGTCACTATTGGGGTAGATTTATTTTAAAGTAGATTTTTCTTTTGTTTTTTCCTTTTTCGGAGTTAGTTTGATGGGTTGGAGTAGGGATTTAGGGAAGCCAGGAACATTTCTCTGGTTGGAATTGGGAGAGCTAGCTAGTAATCTTTTGTCTTGTTGGTATTGGGAGGTAAGGAACCTAGGAAGCTTTTTTTTTTGGAGTGGAATGGTAGGGGGTTAAACAACCTTTGTTAGAATGGAGTTAAGTAGGGGGTGGTAAGGACCTTTTTGAGGTTGAAGAAGTCAGGTGGGAAAGCTGTAGGTTAGGAGTAGAAGAGGTAGGAACCTCTGTAGGTTTGGAGTAGGAAGGTAGGAAAGCTAGGAATCTTTGTCATGATGGAGTTGGGGAGGAAGTTGAGCTAGGAACAATTGTTGTGTTGGAGTTGGAAAGTAATGCATAGCTTGGAACTTTTGTCTTACTACTGCCTCTGAATGCATCAAGTCAGTTCAAGGTCACTTGTCCATCATCCTTCATTGCATCATATAACAACCCATCATCTGCTTAACATTATTGCATGAAGCTTCAAAGGACAAAACGTCGAAAGTTTCAATTACTGTTGGCTTAGAAGTTATAACATGTCTATTAGGTGTATGTAATACTTTTTGGTTTTTTTGACAAATGAAACCTGACCAAAATCCAGTCTAGTTATACTGCCTACATGTATTTCATTGAAGTTTGAATTTGAAGCTTCACCTAGTGTGTACATTTTCGACTTTTATTACACCTAGTTCCTGAGGGTTATTATGTAGCTAACCACCTCTGATGCAGTACCAGTGTCAGGTTAACATTGGAAGACCACAGCCAACTTGACTGTTATTGAAAACCAGTTCTTTAAATGGACACAGATCTTATGTTGCAAAAACTCCAGCAACTGTAGAACACGATGTAAGCTAGGATCAATTATACTTGCTGTAAATGAAAAATAATTTATTTGAAGAAGTTGTTATAATTAAGATGGAGGTGGTCAAATGCATCATGCTTGCATGCTTAAGTCTAACTTGTGTACATTACAATTTTGTTGCAACCTATATGTGCATGTTAAAATGTTACTGCTGTATTAAATTTTGTATTTGTTAAAATTTGCTTTTTAGCTATATAGGTTGCCTGTCTGACCACAGTAAATTCTTGGGTTTATTTTGGTCAGACAGTGCTTGTAGTGGCTTCTTGTTTAGTTTACTTTAAACTGCACTACTGTCTATGATAATAATGATAAAATGATTCCGGGAGGATGTACAGAAAATTTGGTACTTTTTGCTTTTGTATTTGATCTAGAATATAGACTTCCTTCAGAGCTCTTTTGCAGATCTTTCCTTCTCTAGCTAAGTGGTTGGGATCTGGTATTTTCTATATTGATGACTGCTTTTTAAAGAAATTTGTGGAACATTCATGTTTTTAATAATATCTCTGCGACACTTATTCACATTTGATTTTACATTCTCCCTATTTCATTGGGTTATTACATAATTACATGTTTATTTTGTATGCTGCATGTGTTTGATTATTTAGTTATGGCTGAATTGTCCATTATTATTTTGTCTTTCAGGCATGCTAAAGGGAAACTTGTCTTTCATTTTAATTTGCGAGGTTTCTAGGAGACAAACCACTGATGAAAGACTTTTTTTTTGCATGACTCTTCGGTCTTTAATGAGTGCCTTCTATTTAATTAAGCATCTTCAGTGTGACAGTCTTTGTGTGTGTAAGTCACCGTTACCCTCAACGGAATGCAGACAGATTTCCCTGCACACGAGTGTGACTGATCTAGGATGGTCTCCCTTGAGTTGTACACCAATTACTTTTGTTTAGAGATATGAATGGAAGACTCTTTCAGTCTGAAGCATGATTGATAACATCAGGATAGACTAAAGTTGATGGACAAATGAACACTGATACAAATTATCAATTAATTCATCATCATTGTTATTGTTTCCCTCTGTGTATTGTCTGTCAGCTTGGAACTAACAAACAAATTTTTATTTGCAGCCAATATGAGAACCTGCAATTTTGTATGCTTTTCGTGTAGGTAGACATTTGTGAGACTCTCCAGTCTGCTTTTTAACACAAATTACTGCTTTTATAATAGTTCATATTTTTAGTGCATAACTTAAACATTCAATACAATCTGTTCAATGTTAATATACAAATTCAATAAGCGTGTATTATTGTTCTTTCAACAGGTGGAAGCTGTTGTACGTGCAATATCAAGTTTTCACACACATAATAGAATTAATCACATTAGTATCACTTTCAAAATATAAATTATGCATGCAGTTTATATATGACCTTGTCATGGCAGAGATCATGAAAAACTGTTATAAGTGATTTAAACTTAGAAGAAACATTTATACAATGTATAAATACCAGGTACCTGTAGTACATGTTTTGATATGAAAATCAGTCGAGGACATCTGCCAAGACAAGAATCACTATTAAGTTTAATTAGATTGATTTATATTTCAGGAACACTCATTTTGATTTTAATGAAGAAAAAAAAAATTGATAACATATTGAGCACTTTCTTACATTAAGGTTAAGCTTTCTCTGCTTGCAATGTTTTTAAGTTGATTGCTAAACCATATTGTACATTACTGCTCTTATATGCTTAGCATTGATCTATGTGCCAAACTGTGAAATCTTGTCACGAAACTTATTTTCAGACTGAAATCAAGAGAGGTAATGGTTGACCCATCACATTAGATCACATCAGATTATATAGATATATTTGACATATTGCCATACTAGGATGACAGAACTGTTAACATTTGATCAAGTTTCAATGATTAAAAAAAATGCACTCCCTATTCAATAGGAATAATTTGAATTCAAGTATACATACATAATTTTCTAATGTTATAAACATATTGATATTTATATGTTTGTAGTTGACATTCTCTTCTTGCCCAATGATAAACTACATTTTCAATGTTAAGGTTGTGATGATGGCCACAGGTTTGTATGTACCTATAGAATAGCTGCTGTTTGTAGAATATATTATGATGATGTACTTCATGATCACCACTGATTGTTTGCTATACATGTATCTACACCATGCTGATTCCACTCCAGATCAGGACCTTGTATTTGTGGCTGGGCGTGAGATTGCGGAGCTAACAAATATGGACAAGGTATATTTCCACCAAAGCCAGCTTCCGAACCAGGTCAGACATCACCTGAGTCCAGAAAGCTTCGTCAGCCTCTGTTTGGGAACACATAACGTGTATTTGTATTTACTGCCATGCTCCATTAGCAATATTTACCTCTTTTGTAAAGGCTTCATATTTCTAACAAAATGAATAGTCTTCTAAATTGTTTCTACCTTCAGTTCGAAATAGGAGGTAGCAAAGCAGTTACCATAATGAGTTATTTCAGACCTGTCCTGACAATGAATCATGAAGATAGGTTATTGGTTGTGTGTTGCTTCCCAAACAGACGCTATGCATGTTGTCACCTCTTTGTTGTGGGTAAAGAAACAAATAAGATGCAGTCAATTTTGATTGGTTTTCCAAATTTGAAATACAACTTGTTTCTCATATTTCTGTTCCTGTAATTTGCACAAACAAAATTGGCTGCATAACAAATTTGTTGTTGTTGTTGTTGTTTTTATTTGTCATAACAAAATTATTGTATTGTGTCACTCTAGTCTTAGCTCATGGCTAGATTCCAATTTGTTGTACTTTGAATCATGAAAGGATTAGGTTGACATCAAAAGTTACTGGACAGGATCCTGTTTAAATGCAGGAGCAGATCTTCTCATTACAATTATAAATTGAGCAGTGACCATATACTCTTGACCTATGTACTGTATGTGACCTTTTTAGGGTGCATGCCTCAATAAGGGTGCCCATGCTTTTTTTTTCAGGAATATTTCTTGGCTGAGTGTCCAGTTGCATTCAGAAACAATTAAAAAAATTACTTAGCCTACATTTTTATTCAGAATATATAAATGGGCTTATCCTAAGGATTACTATGACTGTACTGTGGACATTGAAAGCAGCCCTGATTTTAATGTCCAGCGCTAGTGCAGTTGTAGTAATCATCAGCATTGTCCATATCACTGTCGGAGCTGCTAGCACTACTCTTGGAAAGTTAAATGTTCGCATTGTGCACAACTGCACATGTATTATCAAGAACAGTCTGGACTACGTCAACGGAGCTTTTCATCGGTTTTCAGTTGAATGGCTTTCAAAAAAATTTTCACATGCCAATATTCTGTCTAGACTTGGTCTATAAATAACATAAAACAGTTCCGTGGGAGTTCTGCTATAGTCCGTTTCAAATTTCTATTTACTCTCAGTTGAACTGGAAGCTGTCTGCAACATATATATCACCTATAGTATGTTTCATAAAACTTTCAAGTCATATTAAGGGTGCCCTCGCTTGCAGTTACCTACACCCTGCGCCCTTAATGGGTCATGTACTGTAAATATACAGAATGACACACTACAGTTTGTTACTAACTCCAGTCAAATGCCAAGTTATTTGGTAGCATTGAAAGTTTCCAGAGATCTCCAATTTTCATCGTAGACCTAACTTGCTTAATAGAATAATCGACTAACGGTGAACTTTACCTAGTTGTGGTTAATGTGAAATGCTACCTGAAATTTTGCAGTTGACTGTCTTTAGAATTTAGTCAAAATCTGTTCCAAAAAAAAGAGCAAGGATGATGTCTGCTGTTTACTGAGTATAGATCTTATAAATAGATAAATTGAGACTAACTGTTGCTTCATAAACATCATCTTAAAATACATACTGAATAAAATTGAAGTCAAGATTATATAGTTACTGACAAATATTACTGTAGATGGGGAATGGCCCTTAGTTCAACATTGATGGTGACAGTTATATTGAAATGGTTCCATCATATTTATCTGGATGTTCTTTGTTGGCTGTATAAGTTCCCAATAACTATTACAGAAAAAAAAATGTTCTATTGATCTTTTCACACTTCTACATCTAGAGGGAATTGTATCACAAAGCCTGTTGTCTTATCTAAGAGTGATCTATGTTAATAGGTAACTTTACATGTACATGTTTCTTCTAGATATAGGAAATATCATGTTATTTGGTCCCACACACCACTTTATACAATATAATATAATACTGTCATTTGTTACATACTTAGTTATGTCATTTTGTTTCTGTGCTGTGTTACAGCTGTCAAATTTCATGTATGTTTTGTAACAAGGTGTAAAAGATAACTTGCTGTAGATAAGTTGCACTCTTGGTTGTAACACATTTACTGTAAGATAAATGATGTCTTATTGATGTTTTTATTATAGGTATTTCAAAAGTAAAACACTATCATGCAATGTCTTTGCTAGTGGTTAAAAGATAAGTTTTATTTCAGACAATTAATAAGAAAACACACCTACTTTAAGAAATGTTGATATTTGTGTCTGTCATGTTCTTATCATTAATTGATCCATTCGTTTGCATTCAATGTAGATTTTTTAATTAATAATTTTTTTTTTTCATGATCTTGATCAGACTTTACTGGATGCATTATCAAATTTTGTTCTGTTGCATTTCAGAAAACAATGAATTTTGCTGGAGCACCAGCTGTTGACAAGAGTGGAACTGGCCTGTATCCTGCTGGGTACCCCAATTATGCCCCAACACAACCCGGCATGGCCCATACCTTGGCCCCTGGAGCAGCTCCAGCAACTCACAGGCAATTGGCAGCTGCTGCCAACCAGCAATATCCACAGCCTGCAATGCCACAAAATGTGAACCCATCAGTTTACACACCAACTACTGGGGTGTACTCCACATTGTCACCAGGGTATCCAACGCCCTCCACTGGGGCCTTTCATCCACCAACTCATCCTCACCCAATGCAATATACAACGTTCCAGACACCCTCGGCCTACCAAGCCAGCCAGTATGCAACCCCCACATACATTGGGGCTCCTCAGCTGAGTGCCGGAGCAGCCTATCCTATGGGTATTGCCGTGACAAATCCTCATGCTCCCAGTGCTTACAACCCTCCAGTGGCAAGTGTCCCACGTGCCTACACAACACAGGCTGCCATGTCCCAGGCAGCGATGTCCCAGGCTGCCATGTCCCAGATGGGTTATAACCCCCTTGGTTCGAACCCTCTCGCTTCCAACCCACTTGGTTCGAACCCACTAGGATCCAATCCACTTGGTTCTAACCCACTCGGATCCAATCCACTTGGTTCTAATGTACCAGCTTATCCAAATACATACGGCTTTAATCAAGGTTACCCATAAAGGGACATGGACACAAGACATTTAGCCTTGTCTTTGTCACATGATTGTCATGTGATGAAGGTCATGTGATCTGGTTTTGTTGGCCTAGATTTTAAAGGCTGGAGCCTGTCAGCATATCTGGCGTCATATAGATCTGCAGAACTCTTCCCCTCCATGATTGTGAACAAATGTATTTTGTTATGACCGCGTTTTGGTCTCGAATCAAGACACTATTATACAGTTTTAGGACATTTTATTATTATTATTATTGATTAATAGGCTTTACAGTGATTTTACGCAGATTATATACACTTATCAGTTAATAAGCAACCTCCATATGCCATATTTACAATGCCAGTCTAGGTAATCTCAAATTAACATGAAACAATCATCGATAATTGCTTTATATGTTCTTTTTGTAATAGGGGACATTCTGGATAAGCCTGACTCTAGATTGGGCAATGTAGATGTTGTACATATATTTTTCTACCATGTTTTGTTTACATCATGGACAAAACATTAAACTTTTTAGAGCATTTAGTTTTACCACCTTGTTTTTATTTTATTTTAGAAAAATGTTATTTTTTCTCTTGCTTTTTTGTGACATTACCTTTAAAATTTTCAAGAGTTGATTTATAATTATCATCATGTTGTACCATTGAAGGTGACATTTAATAAAAACATGTTGCAGAATGCTAGTTTTGTTGGCTCCTCTGCACAGACTGTTTGAACAGGGATTCTCTAGGTATATATGTACTGTAAATGTAATTGATATGGCACAATCACAGTTCAGCCTATCACTTTTTAAGAGAGGAGTGCATCCACAATAATTATTATATCCGGTTTTAAAAAAAAAAAAAGGGTTATCACATTCATGCTTACGAGCAGTTCTTTCCATGCAAAAATAAAAGCACAGCTGAAATATGCACATTTACAGTAATAATTGTATATCACTGGAATAACAATTTTTCATGCTCCTCAAAAATCTTCGAGGGAGTTCATAGTTGTCACTTTCTGTCCATCCATTCATCTTTCCGTCTGCCTTTTCAGGTCTGAAGCACTAAATTAGGATAATGAAGCTGTTTTCATTTGTCACACTAAGGCAGTGTGCAGTGTACCCAAGTTAGGGCCTGCATGTATTTTCAGGGAGCATTCATTAGTTTCACTGATACCACTGCTAAAAATCTCCGACACAATTAGAATTATAAATGGTGAACTTCTCTTCCGCAACCAGAATTATAGGAGAACTTCTCTCGCAAATCTAGAATTATGGAAGGAGAACTTCTCTCTCAACTAGAATTATAGAATGAGAAATCTTTTCTGCCACAATCAGAATTATAGGAACAGACCATCTATCATACAACTAGAATGATAAAATGAGAACTTCTCTTCCACAACCTGAATTATAAGAGAACTTCTCTCACAAATCTAGAATTATGGAAGGTGAGATTATCTCTTGACTATACTTCTAGAATGAGAACATATCGGTCACAACTAGAATTATAGAATGAGAACTTTCTTAACCTGAATTTAAACTTCTCTCTAAACCAGGACATCTCTCTCACAACAGGAATTATAGAAAAAGAACATTTCTCATACAACTAGAATGATAAAATGAGAACTCTTCTCTCACAACTAGTTATAGTACAATTTTTTTCTCACACAAGTAGAATTAAAGAAAGATAATTTCTCAATCTTTATCTCTAGTTCTCAATTTAGAAAGGGGAGTATAAATGGAAAAACATCTTTGGGACTTTTGTTACGGAAATTGAACTATAAAGCCGCAAAATGTTATTCACCAGAGTGTATTACAAGGCAAGTATCACAAACACAGCTCTGTGTGTTACTTATGATATACAGGATTGCCTGTTGGGTTTGTCTTATGGAAGAAATGGTCATTTTGTGGAAGGATCACTAGCTGGTGGCAACTAAATGAGAACCATATGGGAGGCCACCACATGCTAATCAGAGCAATTATGGTAAATTTTCTCACCAAAGGACATGATAGCACAGAACGGTCCATGATCTTGCTTCCATTGAAACCAACAACTCCAACAGAGATATGCATTAGTCTGAGGCTCTACCAACTAAGCTTATGCAACCGAGCCAAGTAATCTGTCAAATACAACAAAAAATATAAAGTGTAAATAATGAATTTATTTGATATGGCAATAAATAATGTTTGAATTAACAGTAGTGAATATTGTAACAAACTCCCCCAACGATACATATTTGACATAACTTACATGTGCTAGTTCATGAAACAATAAATCAATTGGTTAAGATAAAAAACAAAGGAGTTAAATGGGAAAGTGCATAAACTAGATAACTTTTCAGTTGCAGATAAATTCATGCAATTGTAAAAATATATTGACTTCACAAGAGAAAATGGTATGTGAAGAAAATCATTTCCAACAATGTGAGGTAAAAAATGCAGAAAAGTGTTAACAAATATACATACAGGAGAGAAGACTGCAAAGTACACTGTAACAGGAACCCTATAAGACCTACTATACTTTTGAACTGGAAAACATCACAAATTTTGGCTTACAATGGAAACCCAGATATAACCACCTAAATTGGAATACATACATATACTAATAAATTAGATTTAGTCACAACCTTATTTATCATATAAAATAAGAGGCTGCTGGTTGGTCAATTTATTATCTAACATTATGCCGACTGCAATGCCTGTCCCAAGCTTAATCTTGCCATGTTAACATCTAACCTAGTTGAAGTAAACCTATTTTTCTTTACAAATACAACAAACAAAAATAGTGTGTTTTTAAACATAAAGAAATTGGTGTTTTTAGTACTCGCTTGTAAATGAAAAAGTGTATATTGGTATAACTGTTTATAATTGTTTCAACTGAATTTTCCTTGTTGATCAAACAGTAATACTTGTCAAATTTCAAGGAAACTCCATGCAGACTAATAGTTCACAACAAAGTTTAAAGACAATTTCATTGTACACAGAAAATAGATGGATGTAGTCAAACACTGATCGTGAAACAAAACTGGGAAAGACATGCCAGGATATTGTTGATCATCATATACTCCAGGTGTATCATCAATTTGTCGATAACAAATGTTGACATATTATTTTTGATGCAATGACTCTACAACGATACATGTATATCCAACAGATCTAGTTATATAAAGGACCTGTGTGATTAGTACTCGCTTTATAAAGTCTGCAGCAGATTAAATGAGATCAAAATTTCTCTTGTAATTAAAAGTATTTGTTTTTCTTAGGCACACTGATAAAGCGGAAGGCAAACATATATCTATAAATAATGATATACTTCATACAAGTATATACATAAACTGACACAAATTTTGATGATTTAATCAAAATACTCTCATTGGGTGAATCTGCACCTGATCATGAACTGGTAAACTTTGTATGGACACAAATACACTTATCTAATCACACTTAATGTCTAATCTACTAGGTATTTCGTGTTATTACTGATCCTATCAGAGATGAGCATTATATGAACAATGAATATAAGTACCTGGTATTTATACAATGAAGTTGTGATATTAATTGGATTATTGGATTTCATGTATTGTTCATAACCTTCATATTTTCATATCTCTTTCAAAGGGAACAAAAAATAATGATTCACCATATTATTCACTAAATTTCAATTGTACAATGATGTATTTGATGAAATATGTGTGGATTTAAATTCAAATTTTGGAAATACCAAATGATGTATGACATAAGGATCAGAACCAAAATACTTTGAGGCTATAATAAAAGAATAAGTGGTGCAGAAGTAATGTAACACTCGCATGATACCTGGATAGGTAAAAACAGCAAAGTTGGCTAGAAAGCAAATAAAAATTCCTGTACCTGTAGGACTTTGTAGCCAATGGGTGGGATTAGAACTAGGAATGCAAGTGTAATAGGAAGAAGTAATGAAAAACATCCAGCTCCAAGCAGGGTTTGAACTAGCGACCCTTCAGTCTCTAGCTGGACACTCTATCACTAAACTGCAGGGAAACTCCACTAGCCACGGCTAGTAAGGCGACCTGTACTTTCACAAAGTCTTCAACCCAGAAGACAACCAAGATTCTAGACACCTTAGCAAAACAGGACCAACAGGTCTGTATTGATTTCATAAACAAATAATTTGTCAAAGTGAATAATAACATAAATGGTCCAAAACACTTCTGTGGTCACCATTAATGTACCGATGAAGGCTGCTTCAACAGAACTAGAGGGACCCTCGAGTTATGCTGTGCAACAGTCTGTTCAAGAAAGCTGGCAACATGAATGGACAAGGCAATGTCAGAGATAACATGGGACATCCCCCTTGTGTCCGCTGAACACCGATTACTTCTGAGGAAAACATATCAAGCAATTAATCTGAGGTCACTATCTCTGGTAAAACCAATCTCATTGACCATAATGAATACTGTTTAAATATCTTTGTTGATTAATAAAAACTTAACATCAAATAATAGTAATTAATCAAAAGTCAACATAAGACAGATTTTCATTTTAATACGTAAATGTTCCATAAGCAAGTGAGTGCACAAAAGTACTACTTACATTTGCTAGATTATAGAAATGCAGAGGTAAAATAGCAGAAAACTAAGGAAAATAAAAACATAGAAGATCACTGATGTGGAATGTTGATTTACAGTGAGATTATGAAAAGTATAATGCACTTGCACTATGTTTATATATGCACTGACGATAAACTTTTCTTCAATATTAACTTACAAAAATAACAGAGCATAGTTACAGAAATCACCTCGCCCTCAAAGTTTTATCCTTGTTTCAATATACTTAATCTGTGAGACTACAACAAGAAATAGGACGAAAGAAAACGGATATATTCAAAGTAAAGCTTTAAGGCAATCTTGGAAATAACGATCAGAAAAAATTCAGCACTTTCATCCTTAACTGAATAGACATATATATAATATTTTCAATTACACACAGTAAGATTTCAACATGCATTCTCAAAATTTAAACAATAAATAAATAAAAACTTGAGCTTTTTGTACATCAGTGCTCAAAATAAATACATTTACAAAATGTTCTTGTACTACAATGTTACATATATAATTCAAGTACCAGGTATATACGTCATCTTGTCAGACTGAAGACGTGTATATCAGATTCACAGTATTGAATTGTTTTAAATACAAGAGGCCCAATGGGCCTGCATCACTTGCTTGGTATTAAAACCTTTTCATATAACATGTCATATCATTGGCATTCAAAGTCTAGGTTACTGAGAAGTTGAGGGTTTCAGTGAGAAAAAAAATGACCAAGGTGGCCTTTAATATTGTTTGAGGTCATTTCTTTTTATAAACTTTGGCAATATTTCTGGAACCTATCCATCAAATAACAGTATGGCTATGGGCATTCTTAAGTTGTTTAAAGTTTTCAATAACTTTTACTGTGACCTTTGTGGAGCTTCTTCTCAACAATCAACCAACTGAATATCATAGTTCTGAATATTTTACTTGATCATAACAAAGTTCTATGAAATTTTTTTTTCCCCTCACTTTGCTTGGCTTCATACTGGAACCTTTCATTAAATATCATGATTCTTGGCTTTTTGGTTATTAAGAAAAATTTGTTTAAAGGAAAGTTGAGGCTGGGCACCAAGGCATAAGCTTACTTTGCCAAGTGTGCTAGAAATGTACTTGAATATCATTAATTCCTAGTTAATGGAAAGGCCAGTTTCTGTTCTGATACTCCAAAACAAAGTGATAAGAATATTCAATAAACATTAGTACATTACTGAAACACATTTCCAGAGAGAACAACGAAAGAATACCAATGTCTGAACCTTTAAACTTAAAATGTTTTGAATCAATTTCCAATACAGCAACTGGCAATATGATGTAATATGGACATGATTAATTTTGTAAGTTTGGCCTACAGGGAATTGGTATTATAAAAAAAGAAGAGGGAAGGGAATTAAAAAGACAGAGGATCTGAGGGAAAGACAACTCTAAATGACACAAGAGGCATTGATAATTAAGTACAGGTATAAGTGAAACATAAAATCATATTATGTAGAGTATTAGGTATCGGCAGGAATGTGTGATTAGACAATGGAAAGTAATATTTACTTAAGCAACAATGCAGAAACATTATTCAACGAGGGAGAAGGAACAATGAGTATACAGAAAACTAAGCTGCAGAAAAAGATTGATTGCAAGGCTTCCCTCTTCCATTTACATCTTCATTTTTGAAAATGTGAAGAAATGAAAATTAGAAAAAGAAAAAAATGACGTCATACTCCTTTCACAGATTCTCTCCAAGACTTCAGATTCAAACATCAAACATACACATTTTACTCCTCGCATGATAAAATCATCTTGAATGACTAATGGATTTAATACAGGTAATCAACCATCGGCTTATTGCAATCTAATTCTTGTGATGTCATCAGACATTCCCAAAACAATAAATAGATATTGAAATTTTTCCATATTTTGTAGAAAAATATATGGTCAGCCTGTTTATTTTAAATCTAAAGATACCTACATCTGACTAACAAAACCATTTCTGAGAAACTTACATTTTTTCAAATAAAACTGTCTTTGTGTTCTTAAATCAGCACAGGGTATTTGCTATTAAAAGATTTCAACAGATACTTTGTATATTTTGTTTACATTTCTGTTCCCATATAGAACAAACTTTTAATAACAAAGTTGACTGCAGCTGATCACAGACTCAGATGACCTGAGGACTATGAGTTGTACCTTATACACCAGTTTAACGATGAACAGGATCCAGTCTGGAGTCAGTCTTTAACAATCTTTATCTTTTACAGCATGATTAGTCACATTATAAATGCCCTCAAAATCAATCTTGTTAACATCAACAAATTCATCAGAAGGACCTGAAATATACACTATCAGAGATTCCAAAGATACAGTTTTATCTGAAAACCTGGTGACAAAACATAACTTCCTGTTTCTATTCAGAGTAACCAGCATGAAAATAGTGTTTTGTCAAACTGGAATTATTTCCAAAAGAACAAGTTGTAGTGATCCATGCTCACATCCTCAGGTAAGTTTAGAGTAGACAGGAGGTGAGAACTTTTTACGAAGGTATTTCAGGATGTATAGTGGTATACAGCTGACTGATGTTATCACCAAAACCTTCCATACAAAGTTCCATGTGGTCAGGAAATTGGCATCTGAAAAAATAAACATAAATTTATTTACATTCTGGCTCAAAAAGACTAGTTAGGGTTAACCAGCAGTTAGTGAAAAATTCAAATCGCTGCCACTGAACAAACAAAAGCAGTAAAGGCAAAATTAATACTAACAAGAGGCCTAATGGGCTTGTATTGCTTACCTGGTATCCAATGGTCATCAAAAATAGAATCAGTGTTGATATCACAAATATATTGACAAATACACCATTCGCATTCAAAATTGGCACATCCAACCGACCATTAGGACATGGATTTTAACTACAAGTCAGTTCTCTTTTCCTTGCAATTTATTGGGCTTTGACTTAGAAATAACTTTCCACTAAATATAATTTGGTTTACCAAAAGAAATCTTTTATAGTTTTCAAAACATATGATCTCTGTGGCCTTTAATATTGGTGGAGATCATTTCTTTTTGCAAACCTTGTCAATCATCATCCTAGAAACCTATCTGCCAAATACCATGCTTCTTTGTCTTTCGGTGAGACAGAATCTTGCGAAAGTTATTAGCTTGTCTCAATGTGACATTAAATAGAGTAACCACTTTAAAAATCAGGATGTGGAAAAAACAAGTGAAGCAATATCTTGAATAAATCAAATGTAGGATTTATCTTCTTTTATTACTGTGACAGACATCACTTATCTAAACATTATCTCAACATCTAGTACTTAGATATCATAGAATTAATTTCTGGTTTTAATTTTCAGTTCAAACATTGTTAGTTTTATTTTTCAAAATTCTTACCAAAATAGTTTCTGAGAACAGCCAGGGATAAGAGATATATGGCAAGGCTAAATGCCTCAGCAATCACCATCAAGTAGTGCCAGGTACGTACAGCTAGCGCCACCATCAGCAGCTCCGTAAGGATAAGGGAAGTAAATGTGATTGAAACTACATGAACAAAGTCCTCATCAAACAGCCACAGTGCACCATATATAATTATACCACCTGTAAGAAAAAATACAAGCAAATAGTAAGTGATGTATGCAACATTTGTCCCCTGCTGTTAATTAAATTCTAAGCAACATAGATCTTGATATCAGATGTCTCATTTTAACATTTGAAAGTCTTCCCTCCAAAAATCAGTGCCTTTACAGGAAGGACACAAAAACCAGAAACTAATGCAGAAAACTTTTATGAGCTTGATACTGTATGAAGTTTTAATCAAGTTTGTCATCCATAAATCAATTAAGTGATTATCTGGAAAACAAACTAAAACAATAACATGTCAGAAAGTACCCAGCTTTGTGTCTGACCTCTAAGTGTTAATATAACCATTCTAGTTACATTGTCATTATACACATGAAAAGATGAAAAAAAAATGACCTTGACCTTTTGACACAGTGATCTTAAACATTGGTCAGTTGACTTCTAGTGTAATGCTTATAAACACTGCTTAATAGGATTAAATGTCTATTGTTGTAAGTGACCTTCACAGCCTTCACAGCTGACATTTTGACCCCTAACTTAATCTCATCCTTATATTCTCTTATAGTATTAGATTGCATCAAATTTCAATACGATTAGTCAACCCTATCACAAGTTATCATCTGGAAGCTAAAATATGATGACTATTTTTAGTATTAGTGACCTTTGTAGTGGACCTTTTGACCCCAAACTCACTTCTATTCCCCCATACTTCATAAGCTAACATTTTGTGAAGTTTGAACAAGATCAATCAATTTCTTCTGAAGTTATCATCTGGAAACCAAAATTAGACGATAAAAGTCTAGTTTTAATAACAGTGACCTTTGAGGTTAACCTTTTGACCCCAAACCTAATTCCACTCTGTATCACCTCATAAGCTGACAGATGCATCCCGGAGATAAAACAAAAGTAAACAAATCCACTAGTTCTGAGAAGTACATTCCTATATTTTGACTTCAATGCAATATGATCTTGCATTTAATATTTTCTAAAACACCTTGGTGAAATGACAAAGTGGATGTAGATGACAATCTGAGAGAATCAACATAATCTCCCCTACCTTTCTTTGTCACAGTGATTCAATATTAGACCAAAACATTACAAGACTTACCTTGATAGACACTAATCAATACCCACAAGAAGAAGGTTTTAAATGAAAGTGATCTCCCCTGAAAAAATAAAAACGAATGAACTTAAATGAGAGTCAAGGCAGCACGGAAAAAATCATGTTAAAGACACAGTTTCCTGTGGGATACAAATAAACAATGATTTTTCAATGACCTTTATAAGTAACTAGGATAGATATTTCTTTTTCTTTTAAAGTGAAGTTACATTTGATTACAGTAAAAATTGTCTTAAAAGATTTCTCAACCTTTGTTTAACAAGTGATATGTTTGGGATTCAAACAAACTCATGAAATCATTGTGATGACTATACACTGAGTTGTGTAAAACTGAGTCCCATCACATCAGTATAGTAGTAGCCAATGTACCTGTGTATAAGATCCAACTACATACTCAACAAGAATATCAGTGAAACTGATGAAAGCTCCCCGACAACGACCTTATTAGACACAAACTGATGAAAGCTTCCCGAAAACGACCTTATTAGACACAAACTGATGAAAGCTCCCCGACAACGACCTTATTGGACACAAACTGATGAAAGCTCCCCGACAACGACCTTATTAGACACAAACTGATGAAAGCTCCCCGACAACGACCTTATTGGACACAAACTGATGAAAGCTCCCCGACAACGACCTTATTGGACACAAACTGATGAAAGCTCCCCGACAACGACCTTATTGGACACAAACTGATGAAAGCTCCCCGACAACGACCTTATTAGACACAAACTGATGAAAGCTCCCCGACAACGACCTTATTAGACACAAACTGATGAAAGCTCCCCGACAACGACCTTATTAGACACAAACTGATGAAAGCTTATTCCCGACAACGACCTTATTGGACACAAACTGATGAAAGCTCCCCGAAACGACCTTATTGGACACAAACTGATGAAAGCTCCCCGACAACGACCTTATTGGACACAAACTGATGAAAGCTCCCCGACAACGACCTTATTGGACACAAACTGATGAAAGCTCCCCGACAACGACCTTATTGGACACAAACTGATGAAAGCTCCCCGACAACGACCTTATTGAACACAAACTGATGAAAGCTCCCCGACAACGACCTTATTGGACACAAACTGATGAAAGCTCCCCGACAACGACCTTATTGAACACAAACTGATGAAAGCTCCCCAACAACGACCTTATCGGACACAAACTGATGAAAGCTCCCCGACAACGACCTTATTGAACACAAACTGATGAAAGCTCCGAGACAACGACCTTAATGGACACAAAATTTAAACAAAGGACATTAATTCTAATGTATACACCAAATTTCATGATCCTAGTTTTAATTCAAGCAATGCTTTGCTCATGACACAAAAGATTTACAAAGGGCAATTACTCTGTAACTTGGGTATAATGCACATTCTCTTAGTACAATCAATGCTACACATGTATACAGGTGGCAACAATGTGTCATGGTCAACAGCGTTATTTTGAGTTTGGTTTCCTCGTAGTAGTCTATGGCTACCTCGCTGAACAACGTATGGGAGGCTTGTCGTGAGGATATAACTTTGACATTGCAGACTGGAGCGAACAGATCCTAATCAATGTAATACAAGTAAAGTCATGTCACTCAGGAACAATGGTTTATACAGAGTAAAGACCTCTTTGTTCAAACACTTGCCTTTGTTAATTCTTTATAAAGCTCTGGATAGGTTATGGCAATATCTGCAGACACATCTTTATCAAGCACCAATGAAAACACAGGATACATGGTGTAAATGGTGGAGTACCTGAAGATAAAGTTTCATAAGACTAAAAAATAAACTCTCAATTTTGTAAAAAGTACAAGTTCAAATCTAAAATACACATAATGATATTGCCTGTCAAGGGAATTGTGTTGTCTAATATAGATAGATGAAATATAACGAGTGGTTAAAGGTTTTTCAGGAAACAAAACCTTACTGTATATTTTCCAAGAACTGTAAAATACTATTCAAAATTGTAAAAACACCATTTCCTACCACTGGTGTGATACTGAAGATTGTATAGGTACTGTAAACCAGTTTTCTAGCAATAAACACTAATTAAGTGATTGTTACATCATTTTTTATTACTGGTGTGATGTCATTTCCTGTGTTGTAAGAGATTGACTTACCCAACCATGAGAAAGCCAGGAAATAAGGCTATGGAGGCAAAATAGAAGACTGAGGAAAAGACAGCCTGCATGGTGCTAATGATGAGGCCTCGATGAATGACAAACTGGCTAAGTGATGCTGAACGCTTGTAACTGTAACAGAAAGCAGATCATTTACTTATAATCTGTATACTTCTTACTTCATGGATGATAATACTTGATGAAACGACAGATGATATCAGCTTAAATGTTTAAGGTGTTTCTGAAACTCACAGTAGTACCATCAAACAAAAAATGTCTATGAAATAAATGCTTTTCAAAGTGAAATAGGTTTGGGAGGGAGGGGGGTGGGGGCAATTACATGAAAGTATGAAGTTGTTCTATATATATAATCTGGAGGTACATGAAATTTAATTAATATTCTGACATCCTAAGATATCACAATATACTCTAGAGACATCAGTTACTGGTATCACTTTGACATTCTTAGATGTCACATTATACTGATGACAACTGTTACTAATATCACTCTGACATCTTAAGGTGTCACAATATACTGACGACATCAGATACTACTGACATTCTAAGGTGTCACAATATACTGGTGACAATTGTTACTAATATCACTCTGACATCTTAAGGTGTCACAATATACTGACGACATCAGATACTACTGACATTCTAAGGTGTCACAATATACTGGTGACAACTGTTTCTAATATCAATCTAACATCCTAAGGTGTCACAATATACTGACGACATCAGATACTACTGACATCCTAAGGTGTCACAATATACTGATGACATCAGCTACTATATTTCTCTTACAACCTAAGGTACTAGTATCACTCTGACATCTTAAGGTGTCACAAAATACTGGTGATATCAGCTACTGACATCACTCTGACATCCTAAGGTGTCACAAAATACTGGTGATATCAGCTACTGACATCACTCTGACATCCTAAGGTGTCACAAAATACTGGTGATATCAGCTACTGACATCACTCTGACATCCTAAGGTGTCACAAAATACTGGTGATATCAACTACTATATTACTCTTACAACCTAAGGTACTAGTATCACTCTGACATCTTAAGGTGTCACAATATACTAACGACATCAGATACTACTGACATTCTAAGGTGTCACAAAATACTGGTGACAACTGTTACTAATATCACTCTGACATCTTAAGGTGTCACAAAATACTGGTGATATCAGCTACTGACATTCTAAGATGTCACAAAATACTGGTGATATTAGCTACTGACATCACTCTGACATCCTAAGGTGTCACAAAATACTGGTGATATCCATTACGAGATAACTCAGTAATCATGTAATTATGTACAATAACACTCACCTATTTCTACCATGGACCATTAATAGCCTACCAATGTGAGAAAATTGTGTAACAGAAAAATCGGCTGCCAAGGATGCTTGTTTACCCTCCTACAATACAAAGGTGACATTTTAAAACAGAAATCAACATTCATATAAACTTAGCATTAAATTGGTTCTATACCACAAATCTTGTTTACATACATTACACCACAACCTACCAAATCTTTTTTCTTTCAAGTCAAATATTTTATTTTAGATTTTATAAAAGTTGTGTGGTGTAAACAAGGAAAAATGTTTATAATTTTCTATTGATATTACAAAGTCAAATAGCTGAAAACATAATATCCTTGCCTGGTAAACATGAAATCAAGAGTTTGTATTAGTTTTTGATTTAAAAATTTGTCTATTTTTTGTTTAATCTCATCAACAAATTTTATACCAGCACTAACCTTTCCTGTAATACTCTTACCAGCACTAACCTTTCCCTTGATTCCTATACCAGCACTCACCTTTCTAATAATTCCTTTACCAGCACAAACCTTTCCAATAATACTTATACCTGCACTAACCTTTCCCATAATTTCGATACCAGCACTCACCTTGCCTACAATTCCAATACCAGCATTAGCTGCCTGGATCATGCTAACATCATTGCCACCGTCCCCTACAAACACATAATTAGACCATCACACCTGAGTAAATCAAAACTGGTTCGAGTGAAATCATCCCTAAAGATCATGTTTGTATCACAAAGATATTTAATCAATTTAATTAGGAAAAGGTAGAACAACAAAAGAATTTAAGAGATAATGCTTATTAACAATAAGTTTTGTTCAGTATAGATATTATATTGTTCTTCCTATCATATTCATCGATTTGATCGTACAATATGCATGCATAACCCTAACTTTGACATATTCCACTTACCTATTGCACATGTACGTTTGCCAGTGTGTACCTGTAGAAGTTTGACTATGTCTGCCTTCTGTGTCGGAGAACAGCGACACACAACCACACAGGGGCACTGACAAGCCAGCTCCACAAACTCATGCTCATAGTATTTCAGGCACACCTGCATAAATAAACCATGTTATTATGAAGATCAATAAACAGAGAATTGCTAATACACAAGTTTCCATTCATTTAAGATTTATAAAACAATGTTTTAGAATTTTTCACTTCACAGAGCTTCTGTCAATAAGTAAAATGAAAAGTCTGTGACAAGTTTCATAAATCCTTACAAAATGGAAAAAATGTCAGATTTTGTGTATTACACAATTTACACACTGAAGTAAACATTCAAGTAAACAGTATATTATTACACCCGCAGAAAATCTAATTAAAGCTATAATGTGACAAAGGAAACAATGGGAATTTTCAGCCAATCACCTCTCCAATAAGTCATATTACACATGTTATGGCCAAAAAATTATATAATGGATTTTACTACACTGGTAACAGTGTAGGTATGTGATCAAAGCAGTTCCCTCACTCACAAATACTTTGACCTTACCCTCTTTTGCATAACAAATGGACAAATGTTGTTATACAGATGTTATTTTGCTATTTGATGAGCCTTGATAAAGTATTTCCAGGTCTGAATTAATATGTCCAGGTGTGGTAGGATTTATGCTTCATATATTCAACTCTGAATGCCAATGCATTGGTATCACGACATAAATGAAACAGGTCCCAGTGACCCTTGAATCTCACTTCATTTCTACTGAGAGCAAGTTACTCACCTGAAGGGAATTCCCAGTTATAACTAGAACGGCATCTTGTTTTCTCCGCAGAGCGTTGAGTTCAAGATGTGCCTCTGTACGTCCAGTAACCACACCAAACGTATGGATATCCTGTATCCGTGACACCAGTTTGGAACTCTTTGATATACATATGGCAGTCTCAAGTTTGTCCCCTGTCAACATCCACACCTAGTATAGACAGGGAAAAAAAATCAACACCTAGTACAGAGAAAAAACATCCACATGTAGTACAGACAGAGAAAAAACATCCACATGTAGTACAGACAGAGAAAAAACATCCACATGTAGTACAGACAGAGAAAAAACATCCACACATAGTACAGACAGAGATTAAACAATTAATAAAATCCTGTACACAAACATACATTACAATACTATTAGTCTCTTTCATATGTCAGTGTAGGATTGGGATATTCCATCTGAGGGGTCACAAAATATTGTAAAACCTGAGGCTTTATAATCTATACAAAAAAGTACACACACATCAATTACAACAAAATAATCTATTAAACATGCAATTTGTTTTGACACCATCATTGTCTGTTTAGCTTACTTTAATTCCAGCATTTTTCAGCAGCTCTAGGGTAGGTCGAACCCCCTCCTGTAGTTTATCCTCTACTCCAGTAAGACTGAGTAGATCCATGTCTCGTTCCAGACTCTCAATCACGGCCTGAACCTTCACATTCCTGTCTTGGATACTCATTTTTGCCTGGTGATACCGTGTCTGTTTACAGCAAAATATGGTACATGGTAACATTAATTTTCTTTATTAATATGAAATTCCTTCACATGATCAAATGATTTCAAATAAGATTTTGAAATGTTTTAGATTTAAAACACCAATAAAGATTTTATCAAATGTAAATAGATGCGTTGTGTGATACAACGCCATCACATTAAGTACAACTATCAAAGCATAAAGATCTTTCTCTTTTACAGATTTCATCTTACAACAAAAACCTGATACTTTACCTCAAACTCTTGATACTGTTCTTCTGTGAGAACTTTCTTGGCTACCACCAATGTCCTTAACCCCTCACGTGCCATGTTACCACACTGTAATATTAAATGTATCAACCAAGTTAATTTGTAAGGCTACCTTCACGTTCAGAGTCAAATTTTCTCACATTTTAATACCTAACTTGCTGGATTATTGGTAGTTTATACCAAATTACACAAGTATTTAAAACACTTTCCTTCATGTTACACTTCTAGATTTCTATAAATATCAAACTTGTTATCAGTGATGATAATCAACTCTGAGTGATTCTCAACAATAACAAAATTACTATCAACAATCCTAAATCCTAACAAGAGGTCCATGGGCCTTAACAGTCATCTGACATAAAATACAAGATTTCAAATTTTGAACTTGAGAAGAAGTTGAAAATGTGTTTTCAAGCTACCAACCCGAAATTAACAAACTTTGGTCAGGATCATGTCACGATCATTTCTGGTAAGTTTCAGCTCAATGAAACATGTAGAACTTGAGAAGAAGTTCAAAATGCTTACGACGGATGACGCTGGAAAAAAGGCAATCGCAATAGGTCATCAGAACCTTCGGTCAGATTACTTAAAAATCTCTTCGAACAATCCTTATCAATTAGCACCAAGTCTAAACAATCCTCAGGCTTAGGATATCTTAAAATTGTCTAATATTGAATGATAAATTTGAAATTCTTAAAACCATGAACAACTCAGACATTACATCCAGTTTAATACTTCATTAACTTAAACCATTTTGTTCTAAACGTCTAAAAAATGATAACCGTCATTGCAGATTTAAACTCATTTCATGGTACAATAACTTTGCCTTTTCAAAGCCATGGCTGTTTATACTGACCTCCTCATCTAGCCAGTCATTATACTGTACTATAGTCTGCATCACCACGTCGGCCCCTTTCATGTAGAAAGTTATCTCCCCTGTAGCCTCTTCCTGTCATATACAAATTATTTGAAAATATTTTAAACAGAACTAGAGGAGTTCCAATTTTTTTTGAACATTTTATTCTTAAAGGTATTAAGTTGTCGTAACAAAAAGACAAATGCATCTTCTGGTATCAAACTTATGGGAATTTAAATGATTAGCTTTATCAAAAGTCATTAGAAACTCGATCTTTATCTTCTAGGGAGCTTGTTATTCATTACCCATTAATGATAAGATCCAATTGTCCGCTGAAAGACCGAAAGGTCGTAATAGTGGATGTAAAACCCGTTAAAATAAATAAAATAAATAGATAAGATTCAACATGATATGCTACATTTACATTCACTTCAATAAAACTCAATAAATAAAACATCAGATTCTTGTAGTTGAATATTCCAAACCTTGACAATAATTCCCATGCGTTTGGTTTCTGAAGTAAAGGGAAATATCTGTAGTATCTGGTAACCGATGATAGAACCGTTAGGCGCACGGAGCTGCATACTGTTCAAGTCCCGCTTTAGGAGAGCAAGACCTACACTCTCAGTCCAGGCTACCAAGGCAACCTGGGAGACAAACAAGGTTAGAAAACATAAGCAAATTACAGCTAAATACTTCCACAAGTTAATTAAACAATGCTTACTTTTCAAACTCAATTCTAAATCAAATTTTCACTTCTACCATCATTCATGGTTTAGATGTATGAGTCACGCAATGCCCTGTTGCTTGTCAATCTGAAGTTTTTTTACTGTCACAGACTTTTTCAGATTATGTCAGGGATTGGTTGATCAAGAATGATGACCAAAGTTGATTAATGATTGACGTAGTGCATAATATCAAATCTCAGTTCAATCTTCCCATCTATGTAAAAAAAATAGTTTCTTTAAGTTTTCTCAGTTCAAAGGCCATAATTCTGGAAAAAAATAAGCTGACCAATATCAAAGATGAAGTTGAGCTGCATCCTCTTATAATACAACACAATGAACAGTCATCAATTCAATAACAACATCTAGCTCTGGGGAAAAGAGCAGCAACTGAAGATTTCTACTCCGCAAAAAATAACTAAATAACAGATCAGGATGTCCATTACTACCTCATCAGGACTAGAGGCCTGGTACTCAAGTTTCTGTGACAAGTACACAACTACCTATTACCTCATCAGGACTAGAAGCCTGGTACTCAAGTTTTGTGACAAGTACACAACTACCTATTACCTCATCAGGACTAGAGGCCTGGTACTCAAGTTTCTTTGACAATTACACAATAAGCTATTACCTCATCAGGACTTGAGGCCTGGTACACAACTTTCTGCTGACTCTGCTGATCTGCCTCAGTATCTGAACTAGTATCCACACTCTCTTCATTCTCAAACACTGGTGTGACATTGTGGCACAATGCAATGGCCTTCACTGCTTCAAAGGTTCTGGTGACCACTGTCCTTCTCACAGGACCAGACCTGGTAGGTGTAGTCATGGGACCCAGAAAAGGTTGCTGTGATGATTGTTGCTGCTGTTGCTGGTTAAATGTAGTGTGCAGGTGTGCCATAACCTGTTACCATGACAACAAGTATCGTGTTAGCTTCCTACACCTGTCACTTTCTATTTCAAGTGTTAAATGTTTCATTCAAAATACAAAGAATTATAACAAATTTTTCAAAGTCCTTGAGGACTCATAAACTGGTAGTCACAAGAATGACATGAAAAATAACTTGGTTTAAAGAAAGTCCTGCAAGAAAAGTGTCTTCTGAAAGTTTTTTTACAGGTCTTGAAATTATATGATACACATTGAACATTAAAGAAGAAATACCTCATCCATGGTATCTGGGGTGTATGCCACTGTTCCAAGATGGAGCTTCTTAAAAATCTGGAAATGACAGAACAGATAAACTTCATTAGCATATATCATCACACCTAAACTCATCCAACTGGTTTTTACCACAATATTGGATGTTATTCAACTCCAACTGTATCAATTTATCTATACACTCACTGTTTAACGTAACAGTTTAAACTCAGAAGTGTTTTAATTGGCTGACAGGGTAAACTTTGACCACTTCATGCTTATCACCATGCCACAGACTCAGCCAGTGAGGAGTGCCACATGTTTACATTCATTTCTGTTTGGAGGACTTATTTATTTCGCCATATTAACATAAACAACAACACTAACAATATTGCCTCATCCATATCCTGAAAACATGTCCGCGATTCATTTACTCCAGTGGCCATGACAATGAATGACTGATTCGAGAACTGTGAATGAATGGACAATAGGACAAGATGGGTGCTTCACTGCACTAGGGGAAATTACAGTGTCCACAGTGTAGTTTGGCATTGGTTTTATGTTACATTTATTTTCATTAACTTATTACTTTAAAAATAATAAACCTGTTCATTACTTTTTATAATTTGCTTTGAATCATAATATTTCCACCTATTTCTGATATTATCATTTTTGCATCGTTAGTTACTTTTGCTCAAAGACAGAAGAATGAAAAGGTTAAGGACCAACAAATTCTCACCATTTCATTCTGTGTAAGTGTTCCTGTTTTATCTGATAATAGGTAACTAATCCTCCCAAGTTCCTCCGGTATAGTTGTCGTGCGGACAATAGTCTCTGGTATTGATTTGTCTCGCTGAATAAACCATGAATAAGCTGCTTTACCCATGTCCAAATTTACACGTAAACTGCAATTTGAATTTTACATTTTTAACTGACAAAGAATATCAATGAGGTGAAAATGCAAGGCCGGTCAATGGAAGAAACGGTCAAAATGGAGACAAAATATTAGTTCTATAATGTCCTCAATGACATCATCATATAGGAACACATACAAAAAAAGTCAATAGTTTTTATGAAAGTATTGAACATTTTGAAAAGTTTGGGTTTTTTTCCACAGCAAAAAACTGCTTTTGGTATAGCATATGGACACTTTACAAAGGAATCAATATAATACTGGTTAATCACCTGATAGGAATGATGTAAGAAAAGAGGAGAATAAATCTAAATAGATATCTGTACCACGGTCCAACAAATCCCTGAAAATATAAAATAGTACATCTTTAATCTTTGATACAATATGTTTCCATAGCTGATAGATTCAATAATCCTTTTCAAATATTTCACTTCATATCACGATTGGTTTAGAAAGGGACACAAACTGTATTAAAGTATATATCCAAAACATATCAGAAATATTTGTATATTGGATTCTAATGACAGTGAAAATATATCATTATTATAATACTGACCTTGAGGCAAATCATCACTATAGACAAAGCTACTACAGCAAAGAAGAGGACTTTGGTTAGAGTGTTGATTTCCAGATCCAGCAGCCCAACCTGTGACGTCAAATCAAGACTATTTTAAGTATCACTATTAAATTCACCACATTGTTTTATTCAGGACAGGTGTATCATTTAGAATTCAATCTTCTTGTTGTTATTAATAATATCTACTAATATTTCTACTAAAACATGTATCGACATGCGTTTCCTTATCTATATACTATCAAGAACAGAACTAGTTGTATCTAACAGTGAATACTAATGATACATATTAACAATAACCTTTGAAACCTTAAGTGTCTGAACTTGTTCTATGATTTTCAAGTATTAATTGACACAGTGAGTCTCACTGCCAGTTTACATGACAACTGAACTTGTTCTGAAGTTTTCAATGTTTATGACAAAGTGAGGCTCAGTACAGGTGAACATGACAACTGAACTTGTTCTGAAGTTTTCAATGTTTATGACAAAGTGAGGCTCAGTACAGGTGAACATGACAACTGACCTTGTTCTGAGGTTTTCAATGTTTATGACATAGTGAGGCTCAGTACAGGTGAACATGACAACTGACCTTGTTCTGAGGTTTTCAATGTTTATGACATAGTGAGGCTCAGTACAGGTGAACATGACAACTGAACTTGTTCTGAAGTTTTCAATGTTTATGACACAGTGAGGCTCAGTACAGGTGAATATGAGAACTGACCTTGTTCTGAAGTTTTCAATGTTTATGACAAAGTGAGGCTCAGTACAGGTGAATATGACAACTGACCTTGTTCTGACGTTTTCAATGTTTATGACACAGTGAGGCTCAGTACAGGTGAATATGAGAACTGAACTTGTTCTGAAGTTTTCAATGTTTATGACAAAGTGAGGCTCAGTACAGGTGAACATGACAACTGACCTTGTTCTGAGGTTTTCAATGTTTATGACACAGTGAGGCTCAGTACAGGTGAATATGAGAACTGAACTTGCTCTGAAGTTTTCAATGTTTATGACAAAGTGAGGCTCAGTACAGGTGAACATGACAACTGACCTTGTTCTGAGGTTTTCAATGTTTATGACACAGTGAGGCTCAGTACAGGTGAATATGAGAACTGACCTTGTTCTGAGGTTTTCAATGTTTATGACACAGTGAGGCTCAGTACAGGTGAATATGAGAACTGAACTTGCTCTGAAGTTTTCAATGTTTATGACAAAGTGAGGCTCAGTACAGGTGAACATGACAACTGACCTTGTTCTGAGGTTTTCAATGTTTATGACACAGTGAGGCTCAGTACAGGTGAATATGAGAACTGACCTTGTTCTGAGGTTTTCAATGTTTATGACATAGTGAGGCTCAGTACAGGTGAACATGACAACTGACCTTGTTCCGAGGTTTTCAATGTTTATGACATAGTGAGGCTCAGTACAGGTGAATATGAGAACTGACCTTGTTCTGAGGTTTTCAATGTTTATGACATAGTGAGGCTCAGTACAGGTGAATATGAGAACTGACCTTGTTCTGAGGATTCAATGTTTATGACATAGTGAGGCTCAGTACAGGTGAATATGAGAACTGACCTTGTTCTGAGGTTTTCAATGTTTATGACAAAGTGAGGCTCAGTACAGGTGAACATGACAACTGACCTTGTTCTGAGGTTTTCAATGTTTATGACACAGTGAGGCTCAGTACAGGTGAATATGAGAACTGACCTTGTTCTGAGGTTTTCAATGTTTATGACATAGTGAGGCTCAGTACAGGTGAACATGACAACTGACCTTGTTCCGAGGTTTTCAATGTTTATGACATAGTGAGGCTCAGTACAGGTGAATATGAGAACTGACCTTGTTCTGAGGTTTTCAATGTTTATGACATAGTGAGGCTCAGTACAGGTGAATATGAGAACTGACCTTGTTCTGAGGTTTTCAATGTTTATGACATAGTGAGGCTCAGTACAGGTGAATATGAGAACTGACCTTGTTCTGAGGTTTTCAATGTTTATGACATAGTGAGGCTCAGTACAGGTGAATATGAGAACTGACCTTGTTCTGAGGTTTTCAATGTTTATGACATAGTGAGGCTCAGTACAGGTGAACATGACAACTGACCTTGTTCTGAGGTTTTGAAGTATTCATGACACTGCGGGTCTCACTGCCAGTGTACATGACAACACCTAGTGCTGTTCCTGATGCTACCACAGTGTTGGACCACAAGACATTCTCCACACTCAGCGAATCTTCCTCTCCTGTGGTATCTGTCTGTAAGTCAAAGGATGAAATAGGTCAAGGTTATGCCCACAGGGATTGTAAATGTTAAACAAAAGACTGACATTCAACATGATATTGTGACATTGCTTCTGATTGGCTAGTACATGTATCTGCTTGTTATTATCTTCAGGGATAAGTTCTGTTAAAGAAAACAAAAAGGCTATGTTGTGTATTACTGTAGAGTTGTTAATATTTGTGGGTATTTGATTGTGCTATATCCTAGGTTATTCATGACAACATGAAATCAAACATCTCGTAAATATTAAAACACTAAATCAAATTTTCAGAAAATTGATATTATATATTTTAATACATGGATACCAATTTATCAACATGCTCTCCTGTATGTAGCTTTGGTTAAGGCAGCATGGCACTTAATCTATTCACCCTGAACTAGTTCTGACCAGGAAAATGCAAATATCTACCCACTATACTGTAATTTCATACTTAATTACATGAACTTTTGATATCTGACCACCTGACACTGTGATATGTATCTGACCATCTGACACCATATTTATCTGACCACCTTACATTGTGATATTTATCTGACCACCTTACATTGTGATATTTATCTGACCACCTTACATTGTGATATTTATCTGACCACCTGATACTGTGATATTTATCTGACCACCAAATACTGTGATATTTATCTGACCACTTGACACTGCGATATTTATCTGACCATCTGACACTGTGATATTTATCCGACCACCTGACACTGCGATATTTATCTCACCATCTAACACCGTGATATTTATCTCACCATCTAACACCGTGATATTTATCTCACCATCTGACACTGTGATATTTATCTGACCATCTGACACTGTGATATTTATCTGACTACCTGACACTGTGATACATATTTGACCATCTAACACCGTGATATTTATCTCACCATCTAACACCGTGATATTTATCTCACCATCTGATATTGTGATATTTATCTGACCACTTGACACTGCGATATTTATCTGACCACTTGACACTGCGATATTTATCTGACCATCTGACACTGTGATATTTATCTGACCATCTGAAACTGTGATATTTATCTGACCACCTGATATTGTGATATTTATCTGACCACCTGATACTGTGATATTTATCTGACCACTTGACACTGCGATATTTATCTGACCATCTGACACTGTGATATTTATCCGACCACCTGACACTGCGATATTTATCTCACCATCTAACACCGTGATATTTATCTCACCATCTAACACCGTGATATTTATCTCACCATCTGACACTGTGATATTTATCTGACCATCTGACACTGTGATATTTATCTGACCACCTGATATTGTGATATTTATCTGACCACCTGATACTGTGATATTTATCTGACCACTTGACACTGCGATATTTATCTGACCATCTGACACTGTGATATTTATCCGACCACCTGACACTGCGATATTTATCTCACCATCTAACACCGTGATATTTATCTCACCATCTAACACCGTGATATTTATCTCACCATCTGACACTGTGATATTTATCTGACCATCTGACACTGTGATATTTATCTGACTACCTGACACTGTGATACATATTTGACCATCTAACACCGTGATATTTATCTCACCATCTAACACCGTGATATTTATCTCACCATCTGATATTGTGATATTTATCTGACCACCTGATACTGTGATATTTATCTGACCACTTGACACTGCGATATTTATCTGACCACTTGACACTGCGATATTTATCTCACCATCTGACACTGTGATATTTATCCGACCACCTGACACTGCGATATTTATCTCACCATCTAACACCGTGATATTTATCTCACCATCTGACACTGTGGTATTTATCTGACCATCTGACACTGTGATATTTATCTGACCACCTGACACTGCGATATTTATCTGACTACCTGACACTGTGATATTTATCCGACCACCTGACACTGCGATATTTATCTCACCATCTAACACCGTGATATTTATCTCACCATCTGACACTGTGACATTTATCTGACCACCTGACACTGTGATATTTATCCGACCATCTGACATTGTGATATTTATCTGACCATCTGACACTGTGATATTTATCTAGCTACTTGACACTGTGATATTTATTTGACCACTAGACACTGTGATATTTATCTGACCACCTGACATTGAGATATTTATCTGACTACCTGACAATGTGATATTTATCTGACCATCTGACACTGTGATATTTATCTGACCACCTGATACTGTGATATTTATCTGACCATCTGACACTGTGATATTTATCTGACCATCTGACACTGTGATATTTATCTGACCACTAGACACTGTGATATTTATCTGACCACCTGACACTGTGATATTTATCTGACCATCTGACACTGTGATATTTATCTGACCACTAGACACTGTGATATTTATCTAGCTACTTGACACTGTGATATTTATCTGACCACCTGACACTGCGATATTTATCTGACTACCTGACACTGTGATATTTATCCGACCACCTGACACTGCGATATTTATCTCACCATCTAACACCGTGATATTTATCTCACCATCTGACACTGTGACATTTATCTGACCACCTGACACTGTGATATTTATCCGACCATCTGACATTGTGATATTTATCTGACCATCTGACACTGTGATATTTATCTAGCTACTTGACACTGTGATATTTATTTGACCACTAGACACTGTGATATTTATCTGACCACCTGACACTGATATTTATCTGACCACCTGACAATGTGATATTTATCTGACCATCTAACACCGTGATATTTATCTGACCACCTGACATTGTGATATTTATCTCACCATCTAACACCGTGATATTTATCTGACCATCTGACACTGTGATATTTATCTGACCACCTGACACTGTGATATTTATCTGACCACCTGACACTGTGATATTTATCTGACCATCTGACACTGTGATATTTATCTGACCACTAGACACTGTGATATTTATCTAGCTACTTGACACTGTGATATTTATTTGACCACTAGACACTGTGATATTTATCTGACCACCTGACAATGTGATATTTATATGACTACCTGACAATGTGATATTTATCTGACTACCTGACAATGTGATATTTATCTGACCACATGACACTGTGATATTTATCTGACCACTAGACACTGTGATATTTATCTGACCATCTGACACTGTGATATTTATCTGACCATCTGTCACTGTGATATTTATCTGACCACCTGACACTGATATTTATCTGACCACATGACACCATAACATTTATCTGACCAATTGATACTGTGAAGTTTATCTGACCACCTCACACTGTATGATATATTACATATATATATATGTCTTATTATTTTTTCTAGCACTTGCTATTCTTCTGACAAAGTAAAAAGTTCTCAACAAACCCGTTTGAAGGTTCCTACAAAGCTATGAATGTCCTTCTGTGGGGCTTCAGCATACACCTGGGCCTTGATATCTAGTATATCCTGCAAAAGAATCGTAGGAAAAAAGGTGAGTCACTAAAACTCTTTAACAATCAAGGACTACTACAAAAGAAATGATTATTTAGGTGAGGTCACTCAAACTCTTATTATATCAAGAACCATTACAACAAAAAGGTTTTCTGTATGGCCAGTCTGATGCATTGTTACCCACCACATAACACACATCTTACTTCACTAGACATGAGGCTCTGTGTGTTCTGTATGGCCAGTCTGACCCATTTTTACCCACCACATAACACACAACTTACCACATCAGACATGAGGCTCTGTGTGTTCTGTATGGCCAGTCTGACCGTTACCCACCACGTAACACACAACTTACCACATCAGACATGAGGCTCTGTGTGTTCTGTATGGCCAGTCTGATCCTTTTTTACCCACCACATAACACACAACTTACCACATCAGACATGAGGCTCTGTGTGTTCTGTATGGCCAGTCTGATGCATTGTTACCCACCACATAACACACATCTTACATCACTAGACATGAGGCTCTGTGTGTTCTGTATGGCCAGTCTGACCCATTGTTACCCACCACATAACACACAACTTACCACATCAGACATGAGGCTCTGTGTGTTCTGTATGGCCAGTCTGACCCATTTTTACCCACCACATAACACACAACTTACCACATCAGACATGAGGCTCTGTGTGTTCTGTATGGCCAGTCTGATGCATTGTTACCCACCACATAACACACATCTTACTTCACTAGACATGAGGCTCTGTGTGTTCTGTATGGCCAGTCTGACCCATTTTTACCCACCACATAACACACAACTTACCACATCAGACATGAGGCTCTGTGTGTTCTGTATGGCCAGTCTGACCCATTTTTACCCACCACGTAACACACAACTTACCACATCAGACATGAGGCTTTGTGTGTTCTGTATGGCCAGTCTGACCCATTTTTACCCACCACATAACACACAACTTACCACATCAGACATGAGGCTCTGTGTGTTCTGTATGGCCAGTCTGACCGTTACCCACCACATAACACACAACTTACCACATCAGACAGGAGGCTCTGTGTGTTCTGTATGGCCAGTCTGACCGTTACCCACCACATAACACACAACTTACTACGTTATTCATGATGCTCTTTGTGTTCTCTATGGCCAGTCTGACCCATTCAAGGTTAATTTCAATGGCCACCACACACACACCTACAGCTGTCCAGTTCACCCATATCTTAAAATCTTATCATTTATTCAATGAAAGTCTGGCAGGATTAATTTTTCGTTTTTCATCTTTTCATTGAATCACTCTAGCCATAGTAAAATGTTCAACCATGAACATATTTTCCCTGACTTTCGTGGAATTAAGAAATTTGACTGACATTTCAACACAAAATTCCCTGACCTTTCACTGACACTGAAATAATAATACATTTCCCTGACTTTTATCAATACCAACCCTGCCATTGTTACCCTCAATCTAACACACAACTTACTACATTAGACATGAGGCTCTGTGTGCTTTGTACAGCCAAACGGAGTTTCCAGTCTGTCTCACCATCAAGTTGGTCAGTCCTGATAAAACAGGCACCTCCATGTTCTGTTGTTCGTAGGAATATCATGTCTGCTGGCACACGTTGGTTCTGTGACAGAGGTCAAAGTTCAAATGTGAAGATAAATACAATAATATCGCAATATTACACCATTATAAGGTCATTCCATTTGCAACAGTAAAAGGATTAGACTACAATTAATTGCAGAAAAGTTTACGTAACAAATCTTTTGAAAATCTTAAAGAAAAACAGCACTTGACATATAAGTAACTTATTTCATTTGCATAAAAGTTATTGTTATGTGAAAAGTTTGAAAAAGAACCAACATTTAAGAAAACATAAATTTGGCTATATGTAATGTGGAGATCAGGGAATATCATACCTTTTCTACTGCAATAAGATCTCCAACTTTTATATCTGAACTGGGGATAACCACAAAACCATCCCTGTTCAGTTTACTGTACTTTTGAGAGTTGGCCTCCTTGTCTCTACGATACCTTCTATAATCATCCAACGCCTCTCGACACATGGTCACAAACAACACAAACCCCTGAAAATATACATAGAGACACATTGTCACAAACAACACAAACCCCTGAAAATATACATAGAGACACATTGTCACAAACAACACAAACCCCTGAAAATATACATAAAGACACATGGTCACAAACAACACAAACCCCTGAAAATATACATAGAGACACATGGTCACAAACAACACAAACCCCTGAAAATATACATAGAGACACATGGTCACAAACACAAACCCCTAAAAATATACATAAAGACACATGGTCACAAACACAAACCCCTGAAAATATACATAGAGACACATAGTCACAAACACAAACCCCTGAAAATATACATAAAGACACATAGACACAAGCAACACAAAGCAAACTTAATGATATACATACCAGCAGTTTCTATATATCCAGTATAAACACTGATGATATACTAACCAGTGGTCACTTTATATCTAGTATAAACACTATTGATATACTGACCAGTGGTCACTTTATATCCAGTATCAACACTAATGCTATACTGACCAGTGGTCACTATATATCCAGTATTAACACTAATGATATACTGACCAGTGGTCACTAAATATCCAGTATAAACACTGATGATATACTGACCAGTGGTCACTATATATCCAGTATAAACACTGATGATATGCTGACCAGTGGTCACTTCATGTCCAGTATATACACTATTGATATACCTACCAGTGGTCCCCAATAGGTATATAGGTAGCCAATCTTGATTTCAGGTATAAACTGTGATGATGCCATAACCAGGAAATATAAGTTCAGGAAAAACTTGAACTGTTCAAACAGCACCTAAAATTAAACATTTAATTACATACACTGTTTGTTATGTTCATAATAGACTTATTACCGACATCATAAAAACTCACACTTGTATCAAGTTTAAGGGTAATAAGACATAGCCAATAGATGCAATTGAATCAGAGAAAAATCTTACAACCTGCACCTTCAAAGATGAAGTAATATATGGAAAAGAAAAGAAAAGTAAAGACATTCTTTGTGTTAACAACAAATTTCCTGTAACAGTGATCATTAGAGGACACAGTGTGTGATACTCCATGGTATAACTCAATACCAATAGATTCATAAATCATATATACCTTTGGTATGAATGTGATGATACTGTATTTTTGGTTTCTGATGACATTTTTGGGAAATTTTACATCCAAGCTTTTCTCTAAGCCAATTGGGACCACCCGTGCTTTGTATTCTTTCCTCCTCCGACATAGTCTCTCCCAGCACCTGTTGCACATAGTAACACTATATAGTTATACGACATAAACTCAACAATCAAGCATGTCACTGACAAAGACTGCCAGAACATGGAAAAGAGATACCCTATTATGATCAGTCCATGCAAACACTTTTGTGACTCAGCCTGTGTCCATTAAGCTATACCATGATAAAAAAATTTAGTTGTACAAAAGACTAGATATCATTACATGTATGTTTGATCTTAGTTAAAGGCATTAAAACACTTGAGTGACTCAGATCAGGTGCTAAGATGTGATTGCACCGACTTGCAATAAACATAAAGCTATGAAACACTGAAGGTATTGATCGCTTGTTAGTGAAGCAGTTACAACAAACTGAAATTGTCACCATGTGTAACAGATGGTTGGCCAATAAAATCCCTTCTACCTGTATATCGTAACACAGTCTTATCATTGACTTTATGTGACTAGCTTTGAATAAATGGAGATAACCTAAGCAACCTTCAACACACCTTACATAATTCACATCTTATACTCTGTAAATTTTAAATAAAGTTTACAGACCCAAGAAGTGCACAACAGGTAAGTGAAATACAAAGTTTAGATCACAGTAAGTAATATAATACATAGCATGAAAGCTGACAGTGGCTGGAATATAAACAATGATAAAAGCACAAGTAAACAGGGTAATTTTCTGCTATTTTAGGTATAAACATCTTATGACAACAGTAAAAACAGAAATCAATTCTAGGGACATGGATCAAACAAAAACTACATCATTCTCCTTTGTTGTGATGTAGTTGTTGATCGTTGACAGTTTAATCAATACTTAGCAACACAATTTGTTTTCTAGTAATCCTCACAAAAAGATACATATGTTGTTTCCTTGCTGGATTTATTAACCAATGAACAGCCAGCTTGATCATTTTTTGATTGGGTCTCCCTGAAGTAGCTTCCTTACTAGACTTGATGCAAGACAACTGGACAAGGGCAATTTTTAATAAACTTTGGTCGTTACTGTGTATCCTTTGTCTGGATACTGTCAAATATCCAGGGCAATTGAAGAATAGGAAAACTAAATATAGAAGTCAATCACAACAGACTCAGAATAAGTAGACTTTTATCAATTAAAAAATGTCTACTGGTTTCGCCTGAACAGTGGGCATCTTTAGGGCGATATTTTGACAGAATTGTTTCCTGAAGTATTAGAAATTGGGGGAAGATTATCATTGTTGTGTGTGACCTATTACAATAGATATCATATGATTATCCATAAACCATAACTCTGATATTCTACGTCTTTTTATATCGTTCAATCATGGTTATCCTTATAATTTTTGCATGAAAATTGAAATAAACATTTATCATTTTGAATTACAGAGGGTGAATATACTATACAATAGTACCTCTAATATGGTTGCCTGTAGGTACATATTGTTTTAAACAGAAACATATCTATACAGTCATTGACATCTAATCTTTATACATATTCATCAAGGCATATGGTGATATGGATGCCAACTGGTAACACAATCTTCTGTAGTCCAGTTCTGTTATTGACTTGTTTCTAAAGTATGCTTCCCAGACTGCTGTTCAGTTGTGTATAAATAGTGGTGTCTAATGAATTGGTATCATTGATATTAAAGGTGAACTTAGATGTTGGGTGGTTTGAGTTCATGACTTTACAGAAGAAGGCAAGGTCTGCTCTTGTGTGTTCATGTAAAGAAAATTCCGTCTATGTAACAGACCAATAGTATTTTTGCTTTTTGTATAAAGATTAGAAATAAAACTCGCTTATAAACAACAACATTGTTACAAAAATAATTAATACATGCATTTACAAACAGGAGAAGATACCTGGAGCAGAGGTTAGACCAGCCTCCTGTCAGGAAGTAGGCAATCCTACTCTGGTTTGGATTTCTGTAGCGTCTATTGACAAGGGAATCGTTCTCATCCATGTCAAACCCAATCGTGTCCCCATAAATCAGCGGTGCCTCATCTGTGCCAGAGTCTTCATAGTCGGACGGCAGTCTAACAATCATATAGAAAAAATTATATTCATTTAGCAATAACCAATGTACAATGTCATTTTGTTAAGGTGTATACCAGTAGTTAACAATAACCTTCCTTGCACACTTTTCACAAAGGAAATACAGCACTGAAATGTGTTTGTGCAACATTGCAGTTTCTGTATGTTGTTTATAAAACAATAATGGTGAAAGAGAAAATTCATTATTGTGCTAATTTGCAAAAAATTCATAATGTACTGAAATTTGATTGCACAAAAACTAATTATGTTTACATTATTTGGGATACAGACAGACCATTATGTTGTAATATTATTTCAATCACAATTAGGGAAGTTTTTCCTTCGACTGCCATTCATATGTAACAGAACTAAGTAAACCACAAGTAACTACATTTTACAGCACAAGTGAAACCTCTTCGTTGATAACCATGACATATGAACTAACAATATTGATTTGGTGTAAAGCTGATGTGATAACATTGTGTAGGAAGGGGAGATAACCATAAAGTAAATTATACATTATTGACCAAGTTTAACAGAGACCATTTTACCACCTAAATGGTAAATACTACTCTGGTTTATAATGTTAAAATGTTAAACAGCAGAATTTGTTAATCACTTAAAGATTCAATCTAATCCAACCTAATCCCACTTTGTGTATTTGGATGAAGACTCATTAATCTGTTGTACTGTCTACAGAAAAACCAAGGACATCACTTTAAGGTGACTGTCTACAGAAAAACCAAGGACATCACTTTAAGGTGACTGTCTACCCAAGGACATCACTATAGGGTGACAGTCTACAGAAAAATCCAGGATATCCCTGTAGGGTCACTGTCTACAAAAAAACCTAGGATAGGCCTGTAGGGTCACTGTCTACAGAAAAACCTAGGATATCCCTGTAGGGTCACTGTCTACAAAAAAACCTAGGATAGGCCAGTAGGGTGACTGTCTACAAAAAACCTAGGATAGGCCTGTAGGGTCACTGTCTACAAAAAAAACTAGGATATCCCTGTAGGGTCACTGTCTACAGAAAAACCTAGGATATCCCTGTAGGGTGACTGTCTACAAAAAAACCTAGGATATCCCTGTAGGGTGACTGTCTACAAAAAAACATAGGATATCCCTGTAGGGTCACTGTCTACAAAAAACCTAGGATATCTCTGTAGGGTCACTGTCTACAAAAAAACATAGGATATCCCTGTAGGGTCACTGTCTACAAAAAACCTAGGATATCCCTGTAGGGTGACTGTCTACAAAAAAACCTAGGATATTCCAGTAGGGTGACTGTCTACAAAAAACCTAGGATAGGCTGGTAGGGTGACTGTCTACAAAAAAACCTAGGATAGGCCTGTAGGGTGACTGTCTACAGAAAAACCTAGGATATCCCTGTAGATTTAAAGGTTGATTGTCTATAGAAAATCCAGGATATTCCTGTAGGGTGATTGTCTACAAAAAAAAACCATGATATGATCATATCCCTGTAGGGTGACTGTTCACAGAAAAACCCAGCATATCCCTATAACGTCACTGTCTACAGAAAATCCCAGGATATCCCTGTAGAGTAATTGTCTATAGAAAAACCCAGGATGTCCCTGTAGGGTGATTGCCTGCAGGAAAATTCAAGATGACACTATTGGGTGATTGCATAAGACAAACAAGGATGACACTGTATTGTGATTGTCCACACAAAACAAATGGATGTCCCTGTATGGTGATTATCTACAGAAAAACCAAGGATTTCCCTGTTTGGCAAAATTTCAGGATCCTTTGCTAACAAATAATTTGCAAAACATATGTTGGTAAATTTCTTAAGTCTTACACCTAACAAATATCGATGAGAGCAACAAACATTAAAGTAGTGTAGTAAATAATCCTCACAGAATTTCTCCAATCTTTCCAACATATTATTATCCTAATGGCAGACAATGACAGATGAAAGTGATATTTCCATAGCAGTACACGTCCACAACAGGATGTCGGCGAAATTCTAGTGTTCCTAAATTCATTCTTTATATACTACAGGATTCAGATCAGTAATCATGACACAGATGCGTTGAAGCATGACCATGTAAATGTTTCGCTCTCTACTTAGGTATTCAATTCTCCTACCATCTGAATAAAAGTGCATTACTTCATAACCACTATTGACAGTTTACAGTTTCCGACCTTTACATGTACATATGTACTCCTTTGTTGTATTGTATTGGTTTGTCTTCAGTGTACAGATGTGTAAGACCAGTTGTCCCCCAAAGCTATAGAATTTACATTAAATTCAATATTACACTACTGAAATTATGAAAATAATGTATACATAAATAACATATCATTAACCAACACAAGATATATATCTAATGATTATATATTCTTTAAGTCTTTAAAGTAAAGTTATTTTAAGTTTTATTATATTCTAGGTATAGTATAAATAGTGACCTAATTAAAGTGTAATATTTTTTTCTAAAATTATGAATGATGATTATCAATCCTGAATTTATACATGTATTTCAAAATCCCAGAAAATTTGTTGCTAAAATATAAAAAAACATAAATTACAGAAAAACTGTTTGTCTCAACGATTACTGGTACTATTAAATTTTTTAGCTATGTTTATTTCCCAAAGATCAGCCAGGACAAAAATGGATCAGACTATGGATAAAATACCACTACAGCTGTAGCATATTTCTACAATCGTTTTTATGTAATACTTATTAACAATGGTGTATGTTATCATCATATACACAGTTCTCTTTTACAATCAATGGCCAGGCGCTGGAATCTATTGATTACGTTTGTAACTCAATCTTTTCTCGGTTAAACCATTTAATACATCCTTTATTGGTATACATCCCCATGTAAAGTAAAAAGTATAGTCTATCTTTAACTAATTACAGAAACAGACTCAACATCTCTGTAAAATAGCTGAGTGTCTTATGTGTGTATAAGGAATATAGTTATATAACAACAGTGTTTTCTGCTACATTAAGTGAAAAACATGACGGTAGGTACCATTGACCTGTTTTCTTATCTTGTTACGATATAATAAAATATCTTCAGATCAGTAAGTAAAAAAATTCTGTAGGACCTAGATGGTGATCTGTGGGATGATAACAATGACACCATTAGTTTAATACACCCTGGAGTGTTTTCTGTTGACTTTGCCAGTCAGAAATTGAATGTCATGTCATAATGTGGAGAGTGATGTTACATCATGAATTGAAAATGGTGAAATAAGATAACTGCCCACATTTGATTTTTGACCTCCACATTATAATTTCTAAATCTTTCAAAATGTAATTTTTGTGAGTTATATGACAGAAGATTAAATTTGTTTTCATTTTATATGATTAAACCTGTCTTATAAAATCATCTCAGACTTGTTTCCTAAAATCTCTACAAAATTCATGCTATTGTAAAATACTAGTCATCAAAATGTTAGAAGAAAAAGCTGTGACTTGGGCTAACAAAAAAGATACTATATACAGGATTTAATCCCATAACACATCTGTAAGTAAATCAATACATTTCTGTACACTACTACACACTACTGTAGACTAATTAAATGGTTCTCCTAATGACATTTATACCTAGAGGCCAGTTGACATTTAGTATATATACAGTATATCATGCCTGTTATTTAGTAGCTGTGCACTTATCAGGTTATATGAAATACTTCTAAAGCTAAATCCAGAATACAACATATTAACACGCTTTTCAGTCAACAACAACCCTTACTAAACATACTACCATTAGTCTTACATGGTGCAACTCAAACAATTAGTTCATGATACTAAGACAAAATTACATAACATTGAAATGTGCATACATATCACTGACTCTATACCTAAATAGATTGTCTCAATCTCCCTACTATAACATACTACTGAAACACAAACTTGAACAAAAGTATTATGTCATTGCTGTTCTTCTTTTTTCATATTGTAAATGCTTTACTTGATATCAAAAAGGTTTTACATAAATCTAGGTATGTTTTGCACTCTAGACACTGAACGTATATCATATATGAATATACACATATATATGTAAACATAAAAGGCCAACAAGGCAAATAAACTTGATTATCGCTAACATTTTCAAACCGTGTCTCAGCTATCTATTTATTTGCCTTGTTGGCCTTTTATGTTCACATATTTAAACGATACACAATGTTCTCATCTAATTGAACTATATATATACATAATATCATTGACATTAAATGGCTCTGAATGGGATGGGACAGAACGGACAGACATGGGTAATACTATATCCCACTTGGTCACCCCTCAACCAATCTTTGGCAAGAGGCAAAACAATTTTAGCTACTGCACAGGCAGCATTCTGCTGCAATCCGCAATTCCAGTTCTGCAAAATTCTGGTAAGATTTACAGTACACAAACTTTCTTTTACAATTTCATTAACATAACTTCTGACATAACATAACAAAGTCTGACCCACCATTGTAAAATTCTAAAAGCAACATCTCCAATTAAATCCCATAGGGAGCCTCATATCTTGTTACTAATTTGGTCATGATAAGTGAGCTTACCATAGCGCATTTGAGGGACACTGGGCAGCAATGAACTGTTCATAGACCAAAACAATTTTGGACATTTTATTCAAAGCATATGGTACAATACCTAGATAATTAAACCAGTCTATAATTAACTTTCATATTCATGTCTCCTGTAATTGCTTTTATTGCAATGTGAAGTTATTAAAAAGCTTGCAAGGCTTTTTGTAAAGATGACCTAATCATCGAATTCAAAACTTTATGATAGTTTGATAAACATGTAATACAAAAGTGTAGCTGTGTACATTACCCTACACATAGACAGAATAAACTGTATACAAGCTAAAAAGTCATCATTTTAAAGCAACAAATGTTCATTATGAAAATCAATCTAATTCATAGCAACTGATTTTTGATATTTTGCTTTGATCTTGAAGATTAGCTTACAGTACATAACAATTTTAGCAAATTACATGTGGGAAGCACAATAGCTTACCATGTTAAAGAAATACTCTTTAGTAAACTGAAGATATAGCTAAAACTTCATAATATACCTGATGGAGTCAGATAGTGGTCTCATCAATATTTAGTATAAACCTATATTATTTTCTATTTTGTTTCAAAAGTATCTTGTGATTAACCTACTGTTATTGCCAGTCTTAAGTCTGGTTTGAATTCTCAGCTTAGCCATGACAGAGAATTTAATTTCAAGGCTCCCCATTAAAACATTTCCATGTTCCACACTTCAAAGTCATTTTTACTGAGAAGAAAAAACTATTTCTTAGTGAATTAGTTACTCATATTAACTTTTCATCATTTCTGAAGCTTCCAAAATACAGTGATTTTCGAAGGATAAGAAATTGAAACAAGAGAAAACCATAAAAAGTGTTAAAACAGAAATTGTTTCTAAACACCAACAGAGGTATGGCTATCAATAAAATATAATTAATTCCATTTTTTTTTCTTTTGCATTACTTTTACTTTCCTCAATGGAAAATACACTAAATATCAACAGTGTCTAACAGTAAACTTTTCAATGATGTATGAAATAAAACTGTTATAGGAAGGAGCAAGGAAAACGATCCTGCAACTGTTGGGCTTTGAAAGGACCTTTCGATCCATGTGCAATATGCATGTAAAAATGACAATTTCTTTTCACAATAATTGCTTCAATGCCAACCCAAGTGTGGATAACTTATTCATCTCACTTTATATAGGGCCAGACAACTGACATTCGTGGACTCCAGGCCAATATAAAAAGCTGATAAAACATCAGAATACATCGGACTAGTCTCTATCCTGACACTCTACTACTTGACTAAAGGTCAAATCCAACTATCCAAGCTATAGTAAGGTGGCCTGAACTCTCAACTTCTATACTCCCCTCCTCACAAATTCTTTATCCCCGAAGATATCGACAACCTAGGTTCCTTAGCTTTAAGGAAGCAATTATGGCTTCCTTCCGTTGATTGAGAAATGGAACCAAATCTATAAAAGTAAAGGGTAGTAACAAAGATAGCTTACCCCTACTTTGGCTCGAAGTAGCGACCTTTTAGTTTCCAGCTAAAATCTAGCTAAAGGAAATATTTCTACAAACCAGTCTGATGATGGCCTCTCATTATCAACTTCAACAAAATATCAACAACTGTTACACAGCATTCCATTGTTAGAAACATATATCAAGTCCAAAAAATGCGCAACAATCAGAATCCGCTATCGTTGTATGATTAATCGTCTCTGACTCTGATACTTATCACCCGATTCATATTAATCATAGACCGGCAATTCATGATACACACAGTCACAGGTTTAACTTGCCATGTTTTCCTTCCATGTTAAAAATCTAAAGTATGTTTACATTCATGTCTTTTACAAACTGTTTAAACTGTAAAACTAGATTACCTGGATAATCTTGAGAATTTCACTTTCAATGAACGTTTGGAAGATCCATAAAAACTACTTCTATTTACAGGCATTGGTCACACTCTCCAGAAAATTGGCATGCCGCTTAGATCATTTAGTTGTAATTTTCGAATACTACTTCCGGATTAGCATAAAGTCAATCATCCTCTTCCATATGCTTACACTTGATGGAGCATTACCTCAATTTAATATAATTTTCGGGATATAGTGAATAGTACAAGTTTGAACATTCAGATGTGTTGCCTAATTATTTCTTTTGAAAACTTAAGCGACTTAACAACCGGAAGTGAACAGGTGCTATGGCTGCCTGACAACAGACGCTACACTGAGATCCCTTTCCATTTAAAATGTGATATAAAACAATTTCTCTAGAAAAGAGCACCGTCTGATACATTCACAAGGAATCATGAATACTCAACATCATGAGGTAATTCTGAAACAACGAACATGTTGGAAATCCCCAATCTTAATTTTGACCGTGGTAGCCCTAATTTTATGAATTTCACGCAAGAATGGCCGAGAATAGATGCTGCATTATAAGCTGTACAGTATATTCTCAGGCTTTAAGACCGCAAAAGGGTATGACCCACGTCTCACTTCTGGTCACGCAAAACTTAACGTAGTTAAAAGGTTTTGGCAGTATTGAAAAATCAAGTTTTAACACGTGTATGTTTAAACAGTAAAACCCTTGTAAACATGGCTTTGTTCATTCTGGGATGGAAAATAAACTACTTCCACAGCCCTACGTCATCAATCATCAAACCTAGTAACCAGTATTAGACCATATAGGAAATATTTAATGGTGTTTTGATACAGACCATATTGATATCTTGTCGTAAATTTATACAAGATGGATGTACTTGAAAGATACAAACTTGTAAGTATTTCAACTGGTATTTATTTACAGATAGGAATCTGCAGTCTGGTTTATTTTATAAGAAACAAGAAGACTGTGTGTGTTCTCCTATTTCTAAATTTAATGCAGGAAGCCAAATGGTTGGGGGGGGAGAGAGGGGGAGAAAGGATATATATTAAGGGATGGATCTAGAGACGTAAAACCAACCAGGTAATAATGTTATAACAGTTCAAACTATAAAACATCTTCAAGTGATTTATTTTAATATTCATTGGCTTGGTATAGCAGTGCAAGAGAATATAAGTATAAGGGGAGATAACTACCAAGTTTTATTCATGACAACTGAATAAGAGTGGATGCAATTACAGTCCTTGGTCCAGATATTGAAATTTTGATGGACTTATACCTGGCATGTATGTCATAATGTTGTAAGTGAGCATCTAGTGTTGAGATGTTTATGAACATTAGATGTGTCCAAAAAAGGGATTTCATTTTAACCAATATTGTGATGGAGCAGGTAGTATCTAAAAAAAAAAATTATATGAAGACTGTACTAAATTCATCTTACTCCTGCAGACTGATGTGGATCCCTTCCTGTGTACCTGTGGACCATGTAGACGGTTCTGGAAGGAAAACTTCAACGACGCCACCGAACTTCTTAGTGAGCCAGCCATGAGTCGTGCAAGTGGGTCAGCATCTGTACCATCCCACAGTCATATATGTAAAATTGGTGATCGTGTTATGGTGCAAGACAAATATCCAGGTAAATTTACTGATGAGTCCTAATGAGAAAGGGACTGAGTGAATGTACTGTAAGATCAAAACATCGATAGTTTTATTAACCTATGTGACAGCATTAATTTTGTTTTGTCCTCAAAATATCAAAATTATTCTAATTGTTTAATGCTGTTCACATTCACAGTTTCATTGATTCCATACTTTGAAAGACTGTTGCTTGTTAACTAAAGCAAAATGTTGTCTGTATTATAATTGTAACTGGATGTCAAAAAGTGGAAGATAAAAGAAGTAAGAAAAAAACAAAAAAATTGGTTCTGAAATAAGCTGATGAATTGAATTTTTATGCTTATTTGAATCATTCTTATAAGAATGTTGACCATATTCAATGTTTATTTTGAATATTATAAAGAAGAAAAAAAGAATATTAATGAGAAAATTAAAAGGCTAGATTTCTTTTAGTCTTTTGACCATAAAAAATTCAACCCTGGAGAAATTCTCACCTTGTGGAGACAGTAGTTAAAAGATTACCAATTTATCTATTTCATTTAATATTGTGACTTCCATACAAAGTTCTATAATTCAAAATCCTATCCACCATACTGCCCCTAAGTACCTTAATAGTGTTTATTAGGTTCATGTTTCTAACATACTGATGCATCTGCTGTGTATTGGCAAAGAATTCAAAATTTTAATCATGCATTATTTGCTATGATCAGAATGACATTCAAAATCAAACATTTGAAATTTCAAAAGAAAAATATGTATTTTATTATGTAACAAAAATAATACTTATATGTATGGCCTACACACACAGCACAGGGTGGGGGAAGGTTTGGTTTGGGAGGGGCTGGTTTTTTTTAATCTATTATATTTTTTTATGTTTTTTTACCTCACATGTAAAAAAATCATCACTCTTCTTCTACAAATCATTTCCCAGTGATCCTGTATTTATAACAAAATATCTATGGTATCCAAAAAGAGAGAAAATGACTTATTAATAAAGTGAATGATCCGCTGTTTCTTCAGTATCCTTGTATTTTTCTTCAGCTGATAAATGTATATATAATGTTTTGAAACATATTCATTTGTATTTGGAGCTAAAACAGGGAGAGAAAGAGGTTCCTCTCCAGTGGTATGTTAATTTTTGTTTCTACATATTAACATCAGATTGTTTCTTATTTACAGGCACAGTGAAGTTTGTAGGTGTTGTTGATGACAGTTCCATCGCCCCACAGTTGTATGTAGGGGTCAAGCTTGATGACAACGGTAATGCTTTATTTCTGCTGAAGTGGTTATCAAACTGACATGAAAACCTCTAACTCGCAAGATTGGTTAAACAAACACTCATTGTCATTGCTTCATTTCAGATGCAAATGTAATTATAAATCAAGCCTCTCTTTGTTCAAATTTTATTCTATTATCAAAAAATATTTGTTTAATAATGAAAGAGAGATTATTTTACCAAGTGTCATTTCCTCTACTTCTACAGTGAACTCCGTACATAATGGAGTGTTTAAGGGTAAGCGATACTTTCACTGTCCCCGGGGACATGGAGCCATGGTGCGCTATACTGAGGTGACACCTCTCAAGGGCTACAAAACTACCCCACCTCTTCATGGCAACTACATGTTCCCCAGCTGGGATGAGGTAAAAAAGAGGAGAGGTGATCGATATAAAAAGTAAGTACTTTTTTCTTAGTTGTCTGGTTTGAAGCAAGCTAAATTTGCTGTAACATGGCCTTCATTAACCTGTCATCCATCAGGCTTTTCATGAATTGTTCTGCAAAAACCATTTTGCTAGTAAATTCTCAGGATGAAAATGGACCTAGTTCATGAAAGGTAATTACCTTGAACCACATTCAAGATCACAGAGTTCTAAGTTGATAAAATGTTATAATCATTTTTTTCTGTTTAATCAAAAAACCCGAAATAATGATATCTGGCCAATACATTTCGAGGATAACCTCTGACCTTTGTATGATACAGAAAGGTGTTTTTCCTGTTCATTAAGATTCTACTTTTGTGTAGAGTCTGCAAATTAAAAAGGAGTTTTGTAGTGCTCTAAAACAAAGAAAGAAATAGCAAATTAAAATGTTCACTGTTTCCATGCTGGTAGCCAGATTTAAATTGGTATGCATTGTATTACATATAAAGCTGCAGATATCAGATATAAGAGATTGAAGTTTGTATGAGTGGGATTTTGACATTTGGTTTAGAACAATACAATATATAAAAGGACAGGTAAATGGGCCCCTTGATTTTAGCTTTACACATTGTAGAATTAATGAAAAGCACTTGCAAGACTCAGCATCAACAATCATGAAAAACTGATATGCAATCAAGTGTCTTTATAGAGAAAAATGATCTATAACAATTATGTGTTTGACAGACTTGTGGAGATCTACAGAAATGCTGGTATCGAGCCCCCTGATACTGTGATACCCCCTGCTCCAGGATACAATCAGCCCAAACATAGGGTAGAACCCCTCATCCATGTCAGCGACCCCTTCGACATAGGACTCAAGGTAGGATGATTCACATTAACAACATGATATATCATTACCAGTGTACTATAGTATTTATCTAAAGTCAAAATAATAAAGCTACTTATTCAGTACATTTTTTGTGATAATTGTGACCCTGGTAAATATTAGCAGCCATATACAGCTGAGCTAGAGAGAACTTTATCTTGATTAATTGAGTGCGGGACTAGAAAGCCTGAGGTCTCTGGTTCAAACCCTAAGAGACCCTGAAATAAATAATGTCTTCTGTTACATAATTATGATCACTGCTAATCACTGAACACCTTATCGGGACCAAGTACATCGTCTGGGGTCTGGATTAGACAAGATACTTTAAGAGATCTACCATGTTTTCCTAATAACATGTTGCTTTTATTGAAAGGATCGTGAGCGAAAGATAATACGGGAAAAACAGCACCATGAATCATTTATTGAGGATCGGGAAAAGCAAGAACTGCGGAGGGCACAACAACACTTTGAGGGCCACAACGATTCTGATCGTATGGTACAAACATTTCTCAAGTTACAACGTGCCTTCAAGGAAGGCGAGAACATTTCTAAGAAACGATCAAACTGGGAAGTTCAAAGTAATAATTCAGACTCTGATGACTGATTTGTGGAAAATGTGGACAACATCAAAATGTTGTTAGAGCTAATGAAGGTTTTCACAGCATTTATATACTTATCAACTTTGGTGCCATTTTCTCTGTTGTTATGGCCACTAATGGGTTGACATCACCATGAAGTATATTTTGAAAAAAGTGTATGTGTACGTGGTACGTATATACTTTTCATTATTTCCAAATTCTTAGCCCTGGTTGTTTTTTTTCTGTCATGGACTTCATGCTTTACCTATAGTTATCAAAGCTGCTATATTTTGTTTCTGAGTTTTGGTATTTTGATGATGTTTGTATTAAAAGTCATGTGGAATATACTGATGACTAACAGCTAGATATGCTGTGAAGGTAAATTTTATGGTGCATTATAACACGTAATGTTCAAGTGATTGTCTTTGCAGTCTTGGAGATAAAAGAATATGTATGATCAAATTTACATGGTTTCCTGAGGAAAAACATACACAGAATATCAATTTAGTTTTCAGGAAAACTGAACCCTATGGTGAACCATCATCAAATTTTTATCTTCTTCACTCTGCCAGTTACTTGATATTTTTGAATGTGGATGATATAATTGTTTAATGGTCTCGACCTTCGACTTCCTATTCCCTTCAGAAGTATAAAGTGTAGATTGGTGCTGTGTCAGACTTGTACACAATAAATTAAAAACAAAAAATCTATATACATTTTGTACCATATTTTATACAGCATACATGTATCTTTAAAGAAATAAATAAATATCATACATATCTGATAAATTTTGCCAAATACAAAATCATAGATTCATTTTGATTTTCATATATTTTTAAGAAATACAAATTGAAGATTGGAAGGAAATTATTTTCCAAAATCTGTGTGTTACTGTGGTGTATTTATAAGCATTGGCCTAGAAACACTAGAAAAACTTTTCATGAGTGTTATGTTGTTTTCTATATATTTTATAGATATAGAATGATGCTTGTACATCTTTTATACAAGGTATACATATATATATATATATATAGATATATATATACAATCTATTAAAACCTTGTTATTGATAACAGTATATTATCATGAATAAATCAACCAATATATATGCGTTGATGATCTAATATACTTTTGTATATAATTCATAAAATGTTATGTTATTTACTAAACAGTCTGTGATAGCTGAAATCTCCATTATTATTAAAATTAATGAAATACTGCATTTGATGTCAAATCAAAATCCAACCAAGAGGAAAAAAAATATAGCCTATTTAATTTCACTATGTTTAAGAGTAAACAGTATAAATCATTAATATTTGTCATCACAATTCTAGATATCAACCTTTATTACAAGTAAAAACAAATGCAGCTGTCTCTTTGTGTACTGATGACAGCATTGGTCTAGAGAAAAGAAAATATTAATGCAGTCAGAATGAAAATTTCTGTTGTGTGGCAAGAGATTTGTACTACTTGCTTCAATAGATGAGTTGTTTACATTTCCATCCATATATATACTGTATCCACTAAGGAAAATACAACAATAAAATCATTTATACTTGTTTTAAAACATTTTCTATACTGTTTGTTTTCTTTTTATTGTGCAACTGAAGCTGAAAATGCTGAATTTCACCATTCTAAATTCTCTATTCTGTATTTTTGTAAAGAATATTGTATATATAGACATAATGCTCTGCTTTCCTAAGATGTAATTGATGTAACACTTTGCCTTCCTAAGTTGTACTTAGTGTAATACTCTGCTTTCCTATGATGTAATTATGTAACACTTTGCCTTCCCAGGATGTAACTGATGTAAAACTCTGCCTGTCTATGATGAAATTGGTGTAAAAATCTGCCTTCCTAGGATGTAATGGATGTAAAAATCTGCCTTCCTAGGATGTAATCGATGTAAACCTCTGCCTTCCTAAGATGTAATTGATGTAAAACTCTGCCTGTCTATGATGAAATTGGTGTAAAAATCTACCTTCCTAGGATGTAATGGATGTAAAAATCTGCCTTCCTAGGATGTAATTGATGTAAAACTCTGCCTTCCTAAGATGTAATTGATGTAATATACTGCCTTCCTAAGATGTAATTGATGTAAAACTCTGCCTTCCTATGATGAAATTGGTGTAAAAATCTGCCTTCCTAGGATGTAATGGATGTAAAAATCTGCCTTCCTAGGATGTAATTGATGTAAAACTCTGCCTTCCTAAGATGTAATTGATGTAACACACTGCCTTCCTAAGTTGTAATTGATGTAACATACTGCCTTCCTAAGATGTAATTGATGTAAAACTCTGCCTTCCTATGATGAAATTGGTGTAAAAATCTGCCTTCCTAGGATGTAATGGATGTAAAAATCTGCCTTCCTAGGATGTAATTGATGTAAACCTCTGCCTTCATAAGATGTAATTGATGTAAAACTCTGCCTGTCTATGATGAAATTGGTGTAAAAATCTGCCTTCCTAGGACGTAATGGATGTAAAAATCTGCCTTCCTAGGATGTAATTGATGTAAAACTCTGCCTTCCTAAGATGTAATTGATGTAACACACTGCCTTCCTAAGTTGTAATTGATGTAACATACTGCCTTCCTAAGATGTAATTGATGTAAAACTCTGCCTTCCTATGATGAAATTGGTGTAAAAATCTGCCTTCCTAGGATGTAATTGATGTAAAACTCTGCCTTCCTAAGATCTAATTGATGTAATATACTGCCTTCCTAAGATGTAATTGATGTAAAACTCTGCCTTCCTATGACGAAATTGGTGTAAAAATCTGCGTTCCTAGGATGTAATGGATGTAAAAATCTGCCTTTATAGGATGTAATTGATGTAAAACTCTGCCTTCCTAGGATGTAATTGATGTAACACACTGCCTTCCTAAGATGTAATTGATGTAACACACTGCCTTCCTAAGATGTAATTGGTGTAACACACTGCCTTCCTATGATGAAATTGGTGTAAAAATCTGCCTTCCTAGGATGTAATTGATGTAAAACTCTGCCTTCCTAAGATGTAATTGATGTAATATACTGCCTTCCTAAGATGTAATTGATGTAAAAATCTGCCTTCCTATGATGAAATTGGTAATTGGATGTAAAAACACACTGCCTTCCTAAGATGTTGATGTAACACACTGCCTTCCTAAGATGTAATTGATGTACTGCCTTCCTAAGATGTAATTGATGTAACACATCTGCCTTCCTAGGATGTAATGGATGTAAAAATCTGCCTTCCTAGGATGTAATTGATGTAAAACTCTGCCTTCCTATTGATGTAACACATGTAATTGATGTAACACACTGCCTTCCTATGATGAAATTGGTGTAAAAATCTGCCTTCCTAGGATGTAATGGATGTAAAAATCTGCCTTCCTAGGATGTAATTGATGTAAAACTCTGCCTTCCTAAGATGTAATTGATGTAACACACTGCCTTCCTAAGATGTAATTGATGTAACACACTGCCTTCCTAAGATGTAATTGATGTAACACACTGCCTTCCTAAGATGTAATTGATGTAACACACTGCCTTCCTAAGATGCAAACCAGTGAACATTTGTTTCAAAGTTAAGAAGCTACATGTATGTTGCAGACAAACTTGAAAACAAAGATTGAGGTCACCAAGAGGCAAACAAATGATATATGATTATGTCTAAATCCCTAGATAATTGTTGATGACCATGGACCTCAGAAAGAAGGGATTTCAATTAAGGTGACATATAGGGGATTTTTTTCAGTTCACAACAAACTCGCATACAGTAAATGAAAATTCAAAGCCTCATTTACATACATTTATTCTTTGTTAAATTTCATTATTTATCAATCATAAAAATACATTATATATAAAAGATTAAACTCTTCAGTACTCAATAAAGACAAGATTTTTAAAAGTGACCACACAAGATAAGTGCATTATGACATCATCTGCCATACCTGCACTTCTTGTAGCTCTGCAATACATAGATTGGCAGTTTTATCTGGTTCTTAGCTCATCAAGTTCTACCATCACAAAACTGTACTGGAAATCTTGGTATTGAACATCTGATACATCCTTTTTCATTGCTATAATATGGATACTCCAAAGTGACCTCCTGGAGTCTGTGATATAGTGTCAGTAATACCTGTGATCAGTGTCCAGACTGACTTCTAGTATGTACTGGTAATCAGCAGTCCTGTTTCTGGTATTTATTTATACCATATACATCTACTGAGCAGAAACGTACCATTGTGGGTTTATCAATCCATTTTCCATTCAAAGCTTTTCCTCCAGAAATAAGGTCAAGTATACCATCTTCTCTGAAACAAGAAATATTTCCATAATTTTACATTGCAAGGGAGACAACTTCTTCTGTGATAAACATGTTTAATAATGACATCAGATAAATGCCTTAAATTAGGTTTTTATCCAAAAAAAGGAATGTCATTCTTGTTAATAAAAAAATTTTGTGAAAAAGGAGTGTTTCCCATTGTTCAGCACACATGATCAAAACTTTCTAAAAAAAATATTGATAGTGTATCATCAAATTTATTAACTTGTATAAAGGGTGACCACACTGTAGATGATGTGACCACAATCCTTACAATACCTTGGAACTGTTTCTGAATGTCATTATCATCACCATTCCAGGTAGTATTATCAGGCAAGTGTGTAGATTTGTCCTCCAGTCTGAACTGGTCGAGGATATGAACCCGAGCCCAGTATCTACATCCCGCAAACAAAATATACAAATCATTAGTATCATATACATTGCAACTTCCCTCGTCTTAGTTTGGTCATTACAGCCAGCAACTTTTTATACAGTCAATATACTATTATCATGATTTGATAACATGTATCTTTCCATTTTCATACTTTATATCTGATGCTAACTGCATCAAAAACAGCAAGTTTGCAACACTGCCATGGTTTATATTAGGTGAGAGTTACGGTCACGTACAAGTACCGCTATACTATTTCCTACTCTGCTACTTTTTAACGATGTATGTCTATTCTGTTTGATCAATATGACATTTAAATCATCTGTCAGACCCCTGCATTTTTTTCAATTAAGTGGATTTTTGTCCTCAAAATATCGATTTATTACTAACTGAAATATCTAATGCATTGTAAATCAACAAAGACACTGATAAAAATCATCATGTCGAAAAATATAGCACATACATGTTACTACCTTATGTACTTATCAAATGGACAAATTTTCAACCAAGGCAAAATAAATGTTAAAACATATGGTTTTATCAAATCAATAGAATGTTACCTCTGTAGAAACAATTGCTCTGTATCCTGAAGCCATTCAAGCATGTCTGCTATTGATGGCCTGGTGGCAGATCCTGAGGTTACAGTGATCAAGTCAAGCGAAACACAATTCTTTGTATATAAATCAGTGGAATATTTGCACTGCTTTGAGATCTTTCCACATAATTCATGTAATGTAGACCTGGGTGGAAAAAATGGTTAAGATATTTTGATAAAATCACTTGACTTTATGGTAGTATCTTAAAACATCAATAAGTTCATAATAATACACATTCTAATGTATATCATAATAAAGCTGTTTCTTTTTTGCTTTCTATGAAATCACATGGACTTGGCATGAATTCCTGACCCACAGTCCATATGTATGTATTATAATCACAATAATACATACATATGGACTATGGGTCAGAATTCATGCCAAGTCCCTGTGTATGAAATAGCATATTTCTACACTGAATCAATTAAACTTATATACATGTCCACCTATTTTTGTTTATTTTCATATTGTTATTTTATTTTTTTTTATACACATATGAAAAAGATACAATGCATATCTTTTTTTTCTTCCAATGTAATTTCCCAATGTAAGAGGTTACAGGTTTTCTTCTGCAACAGACATTACTCCATTAACTAGATCAAAAACTAAATATGTAATATCATGTGTTTAAGCTACAGGAAAGTCAAGAATAAGACTTACAGCTTTTCTTGCATGATGACAAGTTTGGCATCAACTTCTTGTTGTACTTTGTGCAGCAGTTTATCTTTGACATCAGGTAACTGTGATGTGAGAGCTGTCAGTTGAATATTTGTAACACTGTGGCAGGAGGAGAACTGCTCTGTTAGGTTGTTCAGTGTCACAACATGTGGTCTTAACTCTGTCAGGACCAAACTCCAGGTTGATACACATTGTTGTACAATTTTGAAAGATTTTTGTAACTGACGCAGCAGCAATTTGAGTTCTCCATTATCATTATCGCACTGTAGATTTTGTTTACTGCACATACTAATAATGAAAAAAAATTAGATTTATCAAGCTCCACAGGATATCAATCGCAACAAGCTCAGAGTAAGTTGGTTATCATCTTATTAGTATTGTCAGCCAGTTTCACCCAGAACTTTGTTGGCTTCATCATGATCAGGTCATTGCAAATAAGAAAATATTTTCCGGAATTACATAAAGTGTGAGCAAGTTTACATGTGACATTATAATGGAAATCATGTAGGTGACCTTCCTTGACCTTTAAAGAAGGTCAAGCAAGGTCACACATATGATCTAGTTTGTCCCTATTCCTCAACGGTCCAGCATATCGTGTAAGCTATCAGGAATATCAGGAACACCCAGAACCTACACTAGAGTAATGATGTTGGCTCTATTCCTTGGTTAATTTTATCAAGGTAGTTACTCAATAATTGAAATCCATTGTCAATATCAGATAATTTTGCACAGAGTGACTTTGTATAATGAATTAAAACTTGGATGTTACACCATCTTGCTCCACTCTTTGGCACCTTTTGTCACCCTAAACTGATTGAGCAACCTAACTCTGCCTTTACACAATTCTCTAAACATATAAATCACATGCTATCATTGGTTCAAAATATATAAATAAGACATACAGTAAGAAGAAGCCCAATAGGCCTGCATCGCTCACCTGGTATTCAATGTTCATCAAAAATAGAATCAGTGATAATAACACACCTATATTGACATATACACCATTTGCATTCAAAGTGGGCACATCCAATCCATTTTAACAAATTTCAACAACAGAAACCTTCTCATACTCATCTCTAAACAGTGACAGTTTTGATGAGGATTTTTACTAAATGCTGTTTCTTTTTTTTCCACAAAATCTGTTGGGCTTTGACCACAAAAATGCCATTCCACCAAATATGCAACTTTATCCTTGTGACCTTCAATATGAGTCATGGTCATTATTTTTTTTTTGCAACCATTGTCAGTCATAATCCCAGGAAACTAAACCACAAATACAATGCTTCTGCACATTTTTCATAGTCAGAAGAAGTTGTTGTGATCTTGAATAAGGGCCAACATCATTTCTTTTCTCAAACTATGTTGGACTTTATCATAGGAATATGTCAGCCAAATACCATGCTTCTGCACATTTTGGTTAGCCAGAAGTAGTTGTTTTAAGGTTTTGACAAATTTAACCCTTGTGATCTTGAATAAGGGTCAAGGTAATTTCTTTTCACAAACTTTTCTGGGGTTTATCTCAGCAATCTACCAGCAAATAACATGACATTTGGTTTGTTAGTTAAAGAGAAGAATTTGTTTAAATGGAAGAAATGACGCTGGACAGACGACAGGAGACAGATGGATGGACAGACTAGACACTGCACCACGTCATAAGCTCACTTGGCCCTTTGGGCAGTCAGTGGTGATTTCTCTCAGTCAAAAACAAGGACTCACATCTATCTAGGCTAGCTAGAATCATTTGATGTCAGCAGTGCAGTACATGTAAGAGTTGTCTATCTTCGTTCAATAAATTTGACTTTCAATTTTGATAGCAGGCCTGACCGATCCACTACTACTAGAAGAACATACATTCAGTAGATTCAATAAATTTCATTTCTCCTATTAAAAGATGAAATTTTATGTGCAAACAAACACAATTATATCAAAAAAGTATATTATGTATATAAAATATACAGACATTACATTAAATTATTTAAGTAACAGCAATATTCAGCATGTCTGAAATCTAATTGTTTTTCATCATTATCAGATATAATATTTTGTTTGGTTAATTTTAGTTTGAACAATTAATGAATGCACCTGCTGATGTTGCTGTCTTACAAGCATCAGTTGAGTCTTAGTGTTAGCACCGAATCTGAATAGTCTCATTACCAAGTCTGAAGGGTTCAGACTATCTATCCCCGACTTTATTATTGTCTTGGTCGCGGTCGATACCTAGACAATGTAAAATCATGGATAGGTAGTCCGAATCCTTACAATCATTGCTATGACGTACGATATCGAAGAATCATTTTAGTCACCAGTGTATCTTTATGACTTAAAAAGCAAGATTTCGCAACACAATACACGGTAATTGTTTGGTAAAACTGTCACATACTTATCCGAACATCATTATCTGTTATACGTCAATAATCAACATCACCATGTGCTCGCTGCAGGTCTGCCATGTTTTGATCATGTGACGGTACGATATCTTAGTCATTGAAACGTTTTACAGATACCTCTAACTTAAGCTTCCGTTTGATAAAGAACAGGATAATTCAAAACACAAGCGCGGAAATAGGCATTAGGACACATAGAGAGGAATAAAGGTATGATTTACTTCTTTCTATTTAAGATATTGATATAAGTTAATACCACGAAGTTGTTACTCAAAATTATGTTATATAACGACGAACGCTCATGTACATTTCATGATCACAGCTATACATAGGTATTCGTTGCACGCAAATAATATTTAGCCTAGCCTACTCGGCTGTATTATTACAAGTAGTATGGATATATCGTTCATCCTACAGTAATTTTTAACTAAAGTCTACATAGTACAGGCCTAGCTTTTGTCTTCAACTCAACATTGGTATATGCTATTCCCAGCGGTCTTAGTATCGTTCTACAGTTCCCAACTTCTGTAATTATAACTGGTACTGAAGTGAAGTCGCTCAGTGCTTGGTAATGACTGTTTAAGTCCCTTTTGTCTGTTTATTTGCAAAGTAAAATTCACCTAGCGCCAGCCTATTAGGATGCCATAACTAGATCAACGCTATAATATAAGATCCTTCAAATATGATTTGTTTTCAATGCTGCAATGCATATGTAGAAATTGAACTGTGTAACCCCAAAATTCATAATCAGAAATGACATCAAGAAGAAATTAAAAGTTACCACTTTCTTCAAAAACCATGTCTTCACTGCACATGTACACATGAATGGTTAAAGAGACAAAGGCATATGTACACTATGGAAAAATTGTGTGGCACAGCTTAGGCTATGCATATGGGTCACTTCTATGTTGGTGTTAATGCAGGCTTGATAAATATCGGAAAAGTGTGGATAGAACATATAACATCTAATTCCAATCAGAACATGAAAACAAAAGAACAGGTCTGTAAGACATATACACACACCCAACTGGAATATTGCAGCATTATTTCAGGCCTTGGGTGAATAACAACGATTCAATGAAGAGCAGCTTGATACACTTCAAGTCATTAAGAACATACAGACAGCCCCCCTGAAATGTTCTAATCCATAAATTGACAAATGTGTTAAGACCCTAGATACCACCCTTCCCTTATTGTGTTTTTCAAAATCATTTCTGGCCTAGCTAGTAGTATCTGTTAAGATTATAAAGTCTCAATCCTTCCCAAAACATGAAATAAGTACCTCGGTAAATTCTAGTCCGGTCACAAACTGTTACACACAACCATTTTTTTACCTCAAACCTTCGGACTCTGGAACAATCTGCCAAAAAAATTAAATATTGCACAGAGTCCTGGCATATAGGTATACATTTTTATTCAAGTCAGGACTCACGCACAATCCATGAAGCTTTCATCATTTTTTATCTGTATAGTACACATGTAGTATAAAAGGGGGTTAAATGTAACCCTGGTAAAATACTAGCCGCAATATACCACTCGGCTAGAGAGAACTTCTCTTTAGCTCGATTGGTTGAGCGTCAGACTAGTAAGCCAGGGGTTCCGGGTTTGATTCCTAGCGGAGGCATTGAGATGAAAAATGACCTCTGTTACATTGGCGCCCACGTAGGGACCCGGGATTAGTACTTAGCCATGCCCCATCGGCATCGCTGTAACCCCTGGAAACTCGAGGACGAGTTATTTCCTGGAGGGGGAGTATGTAACCCTGGTAAAATACTAGCCGCAATATACCACTCGGCTAGAGAGAACTTCTCTTTAGCTCGATTGGTTGAGCGTCAGACTAGTAAGCCAGGGGTCCCGGGTTCGATTCCTAGCTGAGGCATTGAGATGAAAAATGACCTCTGTTACATAAATATAACCAAAATTTTATCTTGGTCCTATTCATACTGTGCCTATAACTGTGCAATAGTATTCATTAAATATCATTTCTATGGAAATGTTTACAATATATAAACATTAATTATTTATTTATAATTTATAATTTTACAGGTATTCTGAAGATGCCAAAGAAAAGAGCAACAAGATTGCAGAACGCAAAATCCAAACCCAAGGTCAAAGTAGACAGTGTTGGAGAAGAGTTGACAGAGGAAGAGAAAAGCAAGAAATTAGATGTCTATTTACAAGATTTAAGAATTAGAGGTATCCACAAGTGCTTTATTTTCCTTTGTTTCTATACAACTGTATGAGTTCCTAATTAAGACAAAATCTGTGTCATGTCCTTTGTAATCTTGCTATATATGCAAATTTCTGATATGCACACAAGAATCTTTCATGAAAGTTGAATTTCCTCTATTTTACTCCCAAGAGATATTAAGTGTTATGTTTTATTCTAAAAGCAGTTGTCCTTTTCATAATCACTAATGCTGATATCATATTTCTTGTACATTTATTACTAATGCAGTGAGAATATGTATAGATAAAAATAAGTCTTTAAAAATTGCCTATTTCTCATATGCCACTACAGGCAAAATGTAATTAATAAATATCAATATTGAAATATATGCATCATATTAAAAAATTGTTGCTTAAGACTTCATTTTTATTTTCAGTCAATGAACAGAACAAAAAATTAGACAAAGATTTGGAGAACATGCTGAGCTTGATCGACAAGAAATTTCTATGGGATCTATCCCGACTGCCTATTGTAAGTACCTGCACTGGAACTTGTAATGGTGCAAGTAGTACACACATTGATTATGTGCAGGTGTTGTATTCCTCATTACAGTCAGTGATTTTCAGAGATACAGATGTTTGATTTAGTCATGGAAATATACTCAGTATTTGACATAAGTTAAAGGGGCCACAACCAGTATGAATTGATACCTTGTTTACCTACATAACCTCCGATGAACATCTGAGACATGTCGTTTGACATGCACTGTCCATGTTAATTTGTATGTCTCTGAAAACTCAGAAAAAGTAGCAGTCTGTGCTGTCGTGGTTATGGCTTTTGGCATGTCACTTTACTATAAATGCTCTAGCTGGCATAGGATGGGCATTTCACATGTTGTAAAGTAAGGTAGTTATATATATGTTAATAGCGAAAACAATATATTGTAGATCCATATATGTAGATGTCAGTCATCAGTTTGTTTTTATTTCTGTATGTATTAATATATAGCTACTCACTACTACAAGGAGACATCACCTTTTCTGTAAATGGAGTCATAAACCAAGCAAATAAATAAACCAAACAAACACATCAAATAGATAGTCAGTACTTTTCCTGGGGTTCCTGTGGGCCCCATTGCCAAGTGTATTTACTTTACCATATGGCCGAATTCTCTAAAGACATACTATATTTACTCAATCAAATTTCCTTCCCTATCGATGGTATCAGTAATTACCATGATGTAAGTACCCTGCCTCTTCCCCAAATTGCTCTTTTTGTTGTATTATATTCATTATCAGTTTCTCTTACATATATTTGTTATAAGATCTATTTCTATCATCTCTAATATTTAAACAATTACTCTTGGTTACAATCAGTTAATTGGTTGTGTCTATTTATAAAACGTCTTTAAGAGCCAATTGTAATTCACTTAAGTAGTAAATATATTCTATATCAGTAAAACTTTATGTATGTTTGTTCCTTTTATTATTTTGTAGACCTTTCAATGTGTTCTATGTATAAAGTATGAAAAATATTACATTGTCTATATATAGACATGCAATTACAAATCTGGAGTTTGAAGTAATAATACTTGTCTTGAAAACTACAGACCATTTCCACATCAATACTATATGATGCATGAATTATTTTGAGTATTAAAACCTGCATACTCATTACAGGCTGTCAGGAAGATGACCCTTGAAGATTTTATAAGTATGTATATTTTAATTATTAGTACTTCTTTAGATTAATTAGTACATATATATACAAATTTTGACTACCATTTGTTGATACCATGGTTGGTATTTTGAACTGTACTAGGAACTTGTGTGTATTTAGCTTGACTTCTAAACTTATGTGCTTATACTTATAATTGTATTGTATGACATCTTTACATGTATGTTAAAGATAAAAAGTAGGTTAATTCTGAGTTATAACAAGAGCCAGATCTGATGAAGGAAATGTTTGTAGTACACAAAGTTGTTTCCTTTCCAGGCTGTGGTGGTACTGTTGATTTAGCAGAGAAACACTTGGATATACGAGAGGAAAGCATGAGTTCTGTGGCCTTATCAGCTAGAAAAATTGGAAAATTGTAAGTAAACATGCATGTGTATAGATCTTTATGACGATTTTTATTTTACCACCATTTGAGATTTGTACATAGAGAATTCGTGGTGGAAGTGTCTGAAAATGTAATATGTATTTTGGGGAGTATGAAGAAAGAGTGTAGGACTAAGATAAGTATATAAGTCACTATTATTGTGTTTTTTATTTTTGTCTGACTGTGTTAGAGGAAGGAGAGCAACATAGACCTGGGCATTGGCATTTACAGCTACAATTTTAGGAAGTTATATTTAAATTAGTTTCTCAAAAAAGTAATTACTATTGCAAACAAATTTTGGTAGATAGTTGCTCTTTAAGATGTAGCACTGAAGTAAGGAGAACCTTTTCAATTTGTATTACTGATACTTTGTTTCATTTTTAGATGAGAAGATGAAATTTTAATAGATTTTGGGAATAGCAAGAACTCTTTCAAGATATTCTATTTTTAAGATTTAGTTAAAATAGGCTCTAGCTTTGAAATGTTTGATCACTTCTAGAGTTCAGTTGATATACTGAATGGTGATCCTGCCGGTTTCATTGATACCACACCAAACTCATTACAGGTCAGTGATGATCAAGGATTTTATCTATATTTACCAACTCTAACATAGTTTTATTTCATTATTAGCTAATTTGTTACATGTGTTTCTATGTAATTTTGTCTTTTATAGATCACATCTACAACCACATGTATTTGAAACGATTTCTGAGGAGGAGGGTACAACACCAGGCCCCACATTTGCACAGGTAATGACATAAAAATATCTTATTTTTTTAGATACGTTAAAGTTTACGTTATGTCAGTGGTATCTGTTTTCTTTCTGAAGACCTTTCTTCAGTCTCTTGACACTGCCTCGCTCTTTGCCTTTGGCTTCAGCATCTGGCTCAAGTGAAGAGAGCTGTTGGTTCTGTCCCAGAGCTATATCAATGTCGATGAAATATTTATAGAGGCCCTAAGTCATAACATTTGGCTTGTAACATGCAGGGCTAGCAAGTGTGTTCAAATAAATGACCTTATATTACTTTTGAGGTCCCAGGAATTAATTTTCTTTCAGATAAACATATTTTAACATCTTCTTAGCAACATCTAAGTGGCTCAGGGTACTGATATTGTGACTGTAGGCAGCAGACTGTGATAAATGAATATCAGATTTGTTCATTTGATTTGACCTTGACCCATAGGAGTCAAATGTCTGAACATCTTCAAATGACTTCAGCTCCATTACCAAGAAACAATGAGTTTATTGATTGTACCTTTAACATATACAATACATATTATAAAGAAGGGGTAAACTTGGGATCATAGACCTCTTCTGATTAATTCTGTAGAAGCTGCAGAACAGGGATGTTATACAGGCCCTTTGAATCTCTTGTTCTTCCAACAACTCCTTCTGAAGAACCATTCGGTATTTGGCCGGTAGTTTCCTATATATTCAAAGTAAAACATGTCAAATTGATTACCATACATGTTTAGTCTTCAGTGTTATTCTTACTAGTTTTTGAAGTTGATTGAAACTAATTGGATTTAGATTCATTTTGAAATGTTTGATGCAAGATCAAAATGTACTCATGAAAAGCTTTGAATACTGCCTTGTTATAATCTATATCCAAAGTCATTCCTACACCAGCACAATTAACTTCCTTACCATGTCCTGTTTAATGTGATTTTTTTTGCCTTTTTTCAGCCAAGGACGGCATCAAGAAGAGGGAGACCTCCATTGAATACACCAATGTCTCATATGTAAGTGCATCAGGATAAACTCAGTTAAATCTATATCAAACCTGCATTCTGATAGCTGAGACATATCTAACATTTGAACTGCAATTCTATTTTTCTGACCATCTCAATTTTTTGTCTTTTTTATGTTTCTATTCTCTGGTTATTTACAGGATGAAGACTCCTGCCATGGGGAGGAGTATGGCTGCGACGGGCTGGGAAACTCCTCTTGTTACACCCAAATTTGATCCACGGTAAGTCTTGGTCTAGAAAAGTGCTTTTTCCTATCTCTGGAAATTGTAGAAATAGAAAAATTATTCACTAATCTTCATTGATATCATATCACTATAGCAAATAGGAAAGAGATGTAGATAGTGTTTCACAAAAATATCAAATTTTAATTACACAAATCATGTTTCACATCAATGTTTTTGAATATGCAATGTTTTGAGAAAGACACAGTCCTGTCAGATTTAGACACCAAACAGAAGATTGCTAGCAATCTTACACTGTATGTATGAAAGGAAACCAATCTCTCTTGTATAATATTGTTATATTTTATAAGAAAGTGTGTTTAAAGTTGTGAGTGGCAGGAAATATTGTATTGGCAGGAAATATTGTATAACCATATATCCATCCTTATTTGTTTAAACTGCTGTACAGGTTGCCAATGACAGGAAATATGAAGCGGGCAGCTAGACCCGGAGAGATAATAATGTCGATGGGAGGAAGCCCCATCCAGAACCCTACACGTGGTGGCAAGGGAAACATCAGAAAACGAGGAAAGGTACACAGAATCCGTTCTCTCATTTTACTCTCTGATAAACCATTTTCTTATGAATATGAAAAAAGGTAGACACCTCCTTCCTCAAAATGTCAGGAGTTATGATCATCAACAGGAACCGAGATTATAAGGAAGTGTAACTCCTGGAATATATGTGGATGCCATTACACAAGGCCTTTCATTTACTGTGATAAGTGAAATGAAAGCATCAGATCACCTGTATTATCTTATATATCTAATCTTAACCCCTGGAATATACATGGATGCCATTTACTGCGATAAGTGTAATGAAAGCATCAGATCACCTGTATTATCTAATATATCTAAAGTATACATTAATCCCCTGGAATATACATGGATGCCATTAACTGTGATGAGTGTAATGAAGGTGTCAAATTCGGTATGATGACTGACCTCATTACATGTATCTATAGTCGTATGATGAGGATTTAACACTGTATCTTTTAGTCTAAAATGTTCCCCATTGTCATATGGACATCAGATTTGTTAGCATGTTGTACTTTGATGTTATATTGTTAAAAAAAGTCTCAACATCCATTGAAAAGTTCATGATGGTCTTGGAAAATGTTAAATCTTCAAACTTTATGATGTTTTCTTATAGGATAAGGAACCGATTTAAACAAACTGCTCTATTGTTTATATTGTAATAATATCTTTTGTCATCAGTGAAACATCCCAATGTTTGATGTATCAGTTCACAGATATCTCACTGCAATATAACGTGATGCAGTGATGCTTGCAAATTTTTATGGTATAAAACATCAGACCTGCTAAATTAAAAAGAAAAAAACAAGATTTTGAGAACTATGAATTTACACTACCAGTAAATAAATTGTTAACTTGCTTTATTTCAGACATTGACAGTAGATGTGGACCCCCATTGTGAATTAGAAAATTTGGTAATACCAGACAACATACCTAAAGCTCAGCTTTCACAGTTAGTGGGAGTTCTACAAGACTTTATCAAACAAGCTAAGGACTGAAATCTTAACCTAGGATTGGAAAACATTGTACTTAAAGGAGAGAAGACATGTTGGGTTAATGTATGAGAGTGGCTGGTCTGTAACAGAAGACAACTGACACAGGATTCTCATGTTTGTCAAATGTGAGGCTGGATCTAAAACAGGTGCTATACTTAATGTTTGGTACACTAGAGGGACCCAACACCACTCTGGTGCAAACACTGTGTCAGTTGTGTAAGCCATGTAGACTAATCATAAGAACCTGAAACCTTTTAAGGTACCAGTACAGTTACTGGTCCTATGTGTACGAGGATTATCTTACAAACATGTGGATAAGCTGTTATCTCTATCTTTTTCTACATGATATAACATCATGTTTTGAATTGAACCTGTGTAAAATTACAATTAGCAAGCTGCTTTATCACACAACTTCAGATGCATTGTTCTCCTTGTTTGTATACAAAAACAGCCAAAGATAGATCTCAAGTACAACTTCTATATTCAATGTTTATGCACACTAGAAGGGCTTGACATCTCTCTAGTACAGCTGTTGTGTCATACGGTTTGTACACTAGAAGGGCCTGCCATCTCTCTAGTACAGCTGTTGTGTCATACAGTTTATACACTAGAAGGGCTTGACATCTCTAGTACAGCTGTTGTGTCATATGGTTTGTACACTAGAAGGGCTTGACATCTCTAGTACAGCTGTTGTGCCATATGGTTTGTACACTAGGAGGGCCTGATATCTCTCTAGTACAGCTGTTGTGTCATACAGTTTATACACTAGAAGGGCTTGACATCTCTAGTACAGCTGTTGTGTCATATGGTTTGTACACTAGAAGGGCTTGACATCTCTAGTACAGCTGTTGTGCCATATGGTTTGTACACTAGAAGGGCCTGCCATCTCTCTAGTACAGCTGTTGTGTCATACAGTTTGTACACTAGAAGGGCTTGACATCTCTAGTACAGCTCTTGTGTCATACGGTTTGTACACTAGAAGGGCCTGACATCTCTCTAGTACAGCTCTTGTGTCATACAGTTCGTACACTAGAAGGGCCTGACATCTCTCTAGTACAGCTCTTGTGTCATACAGTTTGTACACTAGAAGGGCCTGACATCTCTCTAGTACAGCTGTTGTGTCATACAGTTTATACACTAGAAGGGCTTGACATCTCTCTAGTACAGCTGTTGTGTCATATGGTTTGTACACTAGAAGGGCTTGACATCTCTCTAGTACAGCTGTTGTGTCATACAGTTTGTACACTAAAAGGGCCTGACATCGCTCTAGTACAGCTGTTGTGTCATATGGTTTATTCACTAGAAGGGCTTGACATCTCTAGTACAGCTGTTGTGCCATATGGTTTGTACACTAGAAGGGCCTGACATCTCTCTAGTACAGCTCTTGTGTCATACAGTTTGTACACTAGAAGGGCCTGACATCTCTAGTACAGCTGTTGTGTCATACAGTTTGTACACTAGAAGGGCTTGACATCTCTAGTACAGCTGTTGTGCCATATGGTTTGTACACTAGGAGGGCCTGATATCTCTCTAGTACAGCTGTTGTGTCATACGGTTTGTACACTAGAAGGGCCTGACATCTCTCTAGTACAGCTGTTGTGTCATACAGTTTGTACACTAGAAGGGCCTGACATCTCTAGTACAGCTGTTGTGTCCTTTGATTTCTATTCTGGTAGTGTGCGACAATGATAGATTAGAAACTCTATCTTTTCCAGATATTAAGAGATTGACAATGTGTACTAAATAAGTGAAGATAGTGTTGTTATGATGAAAATACATTATACCTGAATTTATTGATATCCAGCATACTGATTAATCATTATTCTGCGAGGGCAAAGAGCTATATAGGTGCTATATGTCAGTTTCTGCATCATTTTCCTTCTTAAATGAAAACCAGTTGATAAAATTTGAATGTGATTTTCACATCAGTCATCAACTTTTCAATTTTATTTTTTCAATCTGTGAAACATTTAGTCCATTTTGTTAGGCAAGCTGTGTTGACAGCAATGTTGTACAATGACTATCCATATTGTATTCTGACTTATGTATATTTTCATGGTAAAATCACTTTCAAATCGCCACAAAAAGTGTTTTTCTAATCATGAATAAATGATTTCCTGTGCAGACTTTTAACAAATACAGTACCTTACTCTCTTCTAGAAAATTTCTGCTTGCTAAATGACAATATTTACAGAGTTCCTTTGTCGTTTGTATTTGTGTTATATTTTCGAGGAATTCAGAAGCAATGTGTGAACATCATTACGTCACTTATGAGCTTAATATGAACACATCTATGTTATAGTAGTTGAGAAGTGAGAAACAAATTCCCAGCCACACAAAATGGTATAAAAAGAGACCATTGCCATTGTATTAGTAGGGTAATCTGATTTTATGCTTGTTTTGTTCAATTGCTTTTTAACCTTTGTGAAGTATTTTATTATCTGTCGAGCAGCAATGCTCAATATTGATTTTTAAGTAGATAAGTAAACATATTTTATACTTCCAACAAAATCAACATACATCATACTGCTGTGTGAAATGGTGTGATTGTCATATTCATACAACTGTGTGAAACGGTATGATTTTCATGCATCATACAACTGTGTGAAGTGATGTTATTCTCATACATCATACAACTGTGTGAAATGGTGTTATTCTCATACATCATACAACTGTGTGAAATGGTGTAATTCTCATACATCATACAACTGTGTGAAATGGTATTATTGTCATACATTCTTCAACTGTCTGAAATAGTGTCATTTTCATACATCATAGAGCTGTGTTATAGCCATGCAACTTTGTTATATTATTGTTGACCATTAAAAGATATTGTAAATGTTATTGTTATGCCTATAACAATATTCTGATGCTTCAAACGTACATGTTTTAGTAGTGATCTTAGACTAGCGTTTTTCATACTAAATTTTTTGTACTGAAACATGACTGCACTGAATCAGTGAACGTAGTTTGTGAATGTCAGTGAGATGACAATTTATTTAAAGTTATTATTTCTTTAAAATTTGATTGCAATGAAGTAAGTATGTTTAGGCTTGTTAAAGTAAACAATGTTAGTACATTTAACATTATCTTTGGTCAGTTAAATAACATTGTAACAGTACACAAAAAAACACCCTCTTACACTATGACAATTCTCTAATGCTATATTGTTGTTTCCACTTGTACAATGATGTATACTGACTCCTTCTATCTCCCTCCTACTGTGTCTCTCTCCTACTGTGTCTCCCTCCTACTGTGTCTCCCTCCTACTGTGTCTCTCTCTAATCCTACTAACGTTCTGTTCTTCTTCAATCTGTACTATTTACAACTCTTTCTTCTTTCTTAGCTGAAGTTTTCCAATATTTGGATTTTATCATATACTGACAAGAAAACTGTTTTATACTAGAAACACAATATTACACGTTACATTTACTATCATAGCTAGCTTTTTTATGTGTCAAACATTCTTATTTATCAAATGATGATATTACTTTTTTTTTTACAAAAAAATAAATTGATGATAACATGCAGCATATGTTCCTGGAATTGAGAATGCTGGTTGGGGCAGCACTGAACATTTGTATAATGCATTCACTTGGACATTTTCTTTCTTTTTTTCCCTTCCAAACCAACTCTACCATTCACCAATAAACATGAAAGGCTATTTTTCCTCACATATCAAGTTTTAAGCAAGAGTTGTCATTCAAGGTATTAGGCAAAAATGATCAGGAAAACCAATTTTGAGTTGGTTTCACTGTAAAACTGCTATCGTATCCTGGTGGGATGTCCTTATCCTACACAGGAAACAGTTAACTCCATAAGAATAACTTCCAATGGTATGGGGGAAGGATATTTGACATTTGATAAGTCAATGTATTTCTCTATGGTTCAGGAACACCTACCTAGTGTTTTTTGTAAAATATGTAGGGTCTTTTACCCCTGCATAACCAGATTTAAAAAAAAAAAAAAAAAAAGGCAATTAAAGTACTTTGATTTTCGTTGCATGAATAAGGGGAAAAGATTGACCATAACTGAAGAATTAGAAAAAAGATTGCAACAAACCAAAATAAATATTTGAAATAATAAAATATTTATTTCTCATTAACAGAGTGATAGGAATTGAATTTTGTTTTGATGTTTCCTTTCGGTTTTAAATTTATTGAATGTTTTCTATGTGAACAATACATCCAAGTATAAATTACCTGTAATGTCAATCCATGTGTATGTTTTATTTGTGCCGTATATGTGGAAGGAAAGTATTAAATTATGTACCGTCAGTTACTTGTTTGTAGTTGATAGAGATTTCAACAATTTTATACAGGCACTTGTCACTCCATAGGGCTATAAATATCCTTAATTGGGACTCATATACATCAATTATAACACACCTAGGTCTCATTTACTTTAACTATATTACACCTATGACAAACAACTCATTTTATTACATAGAACAGGCAGGTTCACTTTGTAATATAGGAACAAGTAAAGACAATTCAGGTTAGGGGCTTTAGCGTGATAGATCCCAGAGAGACCTTGGCACCAACCATTGTTTGATCTCTTTTAAATCTTTATTTGGATCTATTTCCTTTATTTCTTATCTCTCCTCCATTATATATGAAAATTTCAGTAAAAATATCTCTGGGATATCAGTTCTGTTTAGTACTCACATCTCTGGGATATCAGTTCTGTTTAGTACACATATCTCTGGGATATCAGTTCTGTTTAGTACACACATCTCTGGGATATCAGTTCTGTTTAGTACACACATCTCTGGAATATCGGTTCTGTTTAGTACACACATCTCTGGGATATCAGTTCTGTTTAGTACTCACATCTCTAGGATATCAGTTCTGTTTAGTACACACATCTCTAGGATATCAGTTCTGTTTAGTACACACATCTCTGGGATATCAGTTCTGTTTAGTACACACATCTCTGGGATATCGGTTCTGTTTAGTACACACATCTCTGGGATATCAGTTCTGTTTAGTACACATATTTCTGGGATATCGGTTCTGTTTAGTACACACATCTCTGGGATATCTGTTCTGTTTAGTACACACATCTCTGGGATATCAGTTCTGTTTAGTACACACATCTCTGGGATATCGGTTCTGTTTAGTACACATATTTCTGGGATATCGGTTCTGTTTAGTACACACATCCCTGGGATATCGGTTCTGTTTAGTACACACATCCCTGGGATATCGGTTCTATTTAGTACACACATATCTGGGATATCGGTTCTGTTTAGTACACATATCTCTGGGATATCGGTTCTGTTCAGGACACATATCTCTGGGATATCGGTTCTGTTCAGGACACATATCTCTGGGATATCGGTTCTGTTCAGGACACATATCCCTGGGATATCGGCTTTGTTCAGGACACATATCTCTGGGATATCGGTTCTGTTCAGGACACATATCCCTGGGATATCGGTTCTGTTTAGTACACACATCTCTGGGATATCTGTTCTGTTTAGTACACACATCTCTGGGATATCAGTTCTGTTTAGTACACATATCCCAGGGATATCGGTTCTGTTCAGGACACATAT